CGTGTCAGCAGGCGGTGATTCACCGCTTACCAGAATGCCGATATTTATCACCCGGCTCCGCCACGAGACGAGACGAGACGCTAAAATAACCGACCAAAAAAATGAATAAATAATAATAAATCTAACGCTACGGCTTGGGTGGCAGCATCTCCTCTGCAGATCCGAATGGGTTTCCTCATCTCCTCCTCCCCACCCCGTTCTCTCTGCGGCGGGTGGATTCGGATGGAAGAAAATAAACGCAGCCGCTCCCTCCCTTGCGTGTCCCCGATTGCCCCCCGCTCGGCAGCTCCAATGGGACGCGCCGGTAACGGAGCAGGGAGGGATGTGGGGCAGCGCACCAAAGGGCAGCAGGCGGAGACCCTCTGCTACCCCCTCCACCCCGTCCCCCTCCCCATAGCTGCTTGTCCCCTGGCGTCGCTGTGGCTTTTGATGATCTGGGGATGGATGCGGACGGATGAATGCGGCGCAGAGGGACAAATGCAATGCAGAGGGACAGATGCGGTGCGGAGGGCTGGGTGTGATACAGAGGAACGGGGCTGGCTGTGGTGCAAAGGGACGGACCCATCGCAGGGGCTGGACCCGCTGCAGGGGCTGGAGCTGCTGCAAGGGGACGGCTCTGTTCAGGGCTGCACACGGTGGTGGCTTTGTCCCCCCCGCCGCCCCCACCCCTTCCTCACCGCCCCACCTCCCTCTGCTTCCCCACCCGGGGGCAGTGGCTCCGTCCTCACCTCCCCGTCCGACCCTCCAGCGGCACAGCGGGGCGGGGGGCGCCCGGCCTTACCGCAGCGGCCGGGGGGACGCGGGGACAGCACGACCCCACCCCCACAGGCTTCTGATAACCTCCCCCTTCCCGCCAGCAGCGGCGCGCAGCGATATTTGCAGCCGCCTGCGGGGAACCTCGGCGGTCACCCCTCTCCCACCGCCCACCCTTTTGGGGGAGGAACCCCCCCATGCAGTCCCCACCCCCCCGCCGCCTTCAGCATCCATCCACGGGCGGGGACCCTCAGAATAGCACCTCCGGGGGGTGCAGCCCCGCAGCCGGGCGGGGGCTTTGCGGGGGCTGCGGCTGCTCCAGACGGGGAAGCGGCACTGTCTGCATCGCTAATGGAGCGGTCCGGCGGCTCCTCCCGTTCCGGGGGGGGGGGGCGGGGGGTGCAGCACCACTGCGGGAGCTGCGGGAAACCCGAGCGAGGGCGGCCCTGCCCGGTGCGGCCCCGCGTGTGCGTGCAGCTCCCCTCCACCTTGCACGTGGTGGTGCAGGGAGGGGTGCGTGCGTGATGGGATGCGGGTGGAGGTGGTACCGGGAGCTGCGCCGCAGATGCAGATGGGGAGAATCACTCGCGGGGATGAATTTAGCGGGAGGGGAAGTGCCCCCATTTTGGACACCATGGATGGGGTACAGGGGGCGATGGCCCTGCTGGGAGGGAGGGAGAGGGGGGGGGGGATCCTCTGCCACCGCACACCCCGCGCGCAGTGCTGCTCTGCAGCATTACCCAGCACAGCCCACACGTCCCAGCTCCTCAAGCCCACACCGCAGACCACCTCCGACGCCCCCACCCCAGCGCGGGGCGGTGGTGCCGAGTGAAGCCCCCACGCTCCGGGCAGCCTCCCGGTTTCCTCTCTCTGTCCCCTCTGGGGATCCAGCTGGCAGGACAGCACCTATACATATACAGAAGGAGCTCATTTCCACGGCGGTTTACTCAGGAGCGCATTCCGCAGCCGCCCAGCAGAGGCTCCGTGCCTGGGGACACGGTGTGGCTGTGCCTCAGTTTCCCCATCTGCACATCGTGGCGTTTTGGGAACAGCTTTCCCCGTGTTTTTAAGATCTATTCCTGGAAAGCTCTGGGTGTCATTATCAAGACTATTTTTAGCGTGGTAAATGGGTTATTAATGTGATTATTTGCAGCGTGGCAATGAGGAATTGCCCCTGGGAGGGGGTGACAGCAGCTGTGCCCGAGGATGGCCCCAATCCACCCCATCCCATGGGAACCCACCCCAAAACGTCAGTGGGGTCCTGCTGGGGTTGGGGGTTCACGGCGCCAGCTCTTGTTTCGATCATGATGATGAGCTGAGTCACAGCTGGGGTGCTGCTAATTAAATGTACTTCTTAATTAACAAGATCACAGAGAAGGGCCTGCCAGCCCAGCTTGGCTTTCCATCACGGCTGACAGAGGCAGCTGAGGCCGTGCCTGGGGTGTGATGAGAATCACAGTGCTCAGCACTGCCCCTGGACCCCCAGAAACCGTCACCATGAGGACAAGGAGGGGCAGCACGTGGCCATGGGGTGCAGTGAGAGTGCTGGGGTTCAGCATAGGACCTCTCCATGCAGTGCTGTGACCCCGTGCTACGCTTTGATCCCACGTGGAGCTCAGCTTCCATTGCACTGGGGGTCTCCCCATGAGAAATGCGGGTCTGAGCAGCTCTGCAGGGCTGTTCCCCTCCTTTGGCATTCTGCATTCTGCTCATGTCCTGTGTGAGAGCAGCGGCACTGAGTCACGTTCCAGTGACTCACGGCTGCCCCAGCCTCCCCGGGAGCAGCACATTGCAGAGATTCCTGGATGGAGGCCGGAAAATAAAATTAAATAATAACAACCTCCCCCCCTCCTCCCCCGTTCCCCAACACACGCGCAAACAGTGAATTCCTGCGCCAATGGGAAACACCTCCTGCATCTTCGCCAGACGCCGCAGTGTACGACCTGGTTCCATTGCATGAGACGCCCTTTGCTGGAGGCCATGGAAAGGAGGCAGAAACTGCATCCTCCCAAAGCTCCCCTGAGCCTGGGGAGAGCCTGCAGCACGCGGTGCAGTGCAAAAGGGGTGCAGCGCAATGCAGAGGGAGTGCAGTGCGGTGTGAGGGGGGTGCAGCGGGGTGGGTGCTGGGGAACCCTCAGCTTTGCATTGCTCCCTGAGGGGGATTTGTGGGGTGCAATTACTAGAGGCTCCAATCTTTTTGCCGTGCTTCGGAAAGGGCTTTATTGGAATGCTCACAGAGCAGCACCAAGCACAGGGTTGCAGATCCATAGGGCAGGTGTGGAGCAGCAGCTCGGCTCCACGCAGCGTGGATTCCCCGGATCTGCTCCAGCAGGGATGTACCTGTGAGCCCAGCAGCTATAGAGCAAGCCCCTCTAGAGCCCAGCTTTTATGTATCCCAACCCAAACCAGCACAGATGCTGCCCTGGTGATGCAGTCTGCTAAAGACCTCACAAAGCAAAATAAAAAAAACACCAAAAAAACCCAACAACCCATTTTGCACAGCAGAGTGCAGCATCTGCAATTACAAAGCAAGAAAATATCCCCAGCAGAGTACCAACTATAGAGAGGGAGTGCCTATGGAGAGGAGAAACCCTATGAAGCCTGTCCCTTTCCAGCCCCCACCCCACAAAGCAGGCTCCCAGCGATGTCTGTGTGATGCTGGGGCAGCACTGGGGAGGTGACAGCAGCCACACACCTTCCTGCATCCCTGTGGGCCCAGGGATGGGGGGTTGGGGTGTGGGATTTGGGATCGGGGCCCCTGGCTGGGGTTCAGGGCAAGTGCAGGGTGCTGCAGCCCCTGCGGGGATGCTGCTACCCATAATGATCCCTCTTTGCCACACTTTTGGGTTTTCTCGGTGATGGGTGGCCCAGCCCCCCGTGCGGCAGCCACATGCGGGTTTCACAATGTATTTTGGTCAGTGTTTACAAGAAAAGGCTGCGGCGAGGGCTGTGGCTGGGGATTCCAGTAAATGGCCCCTGGCCTTCCTCATTCTCAAGAATAGGAAACTGCGTGACTTCTGCTCGGCGTTTTGCTGCGCTGCTCCTGTGAGGGGCCAAGAGGAGCAGAGAAAGTGCCATAATCCACAGCGCTTTGCCCTGTGTGCGAGGCTCTCTTCCCTCTGGGAAAACACATCGGGGGATCGCAGCGCAGGGTCCCACAGTGCCTGTATGGGGATGCTCACGGCCCACAGCGTCCAGTGGATGCTCCATGCTCCCATAGGCAGCGGGGTGGGCAGGATTGGCAAAAATAGCACCGGGCGCCCTCTGCCCCAGCAGTTCAGTAAACAGGAAATCTATTCTTAGCCCCATTCATGAGCCGTGTGCCGGTGGCAGCTCCCCGCTCCAGGCTTGTTTTGTTCCGCGCCGGCACGCGGTGACGCCAGGGCGGAAGGCGGCCACACCACGATCTGACCCGAGGGCTCCGGCCCGAGGGCTTCCCCTCGGCTCTGCATCCCTGAGCCGCCCCAGCCCCATCTGTGGGGTTTCCAGGGGCCGGAGGGGTGGGTGAGGATTTGGGAAGCGCTGTGCTGTGTCCCAGCCGTCAGTGGGCGCGGTGGGACGGGCTGAGTTGGGTGACCTTAAAGGCTTTTTCGGACCATAATGATTTGATAATCCTATGAACGGGCGTATGGGGATGGGCTGCTGGTTGAGGTCTTTTCCAGCCTCACCGATCCTATGAGTGGGCACGGTGGGGTTTGGGTTGCGACCGGACTCGACCTCAAAGGTCTTTTCCAGTCTTAACAATTCTGATTCTGTGGTGGCTCTGTGACTCTGCCGGCCTCGCGCTGGGCGGCACCGTGGGTCCAAGCTCCTCTCACTGCTCCCCAGCGGCACAAATTGCTCCGGAGGAGGTGAAGCCATCGGCTGAGCTCGGCCCTTGCCGGTTTCCCACGGCCCCCAAAATCCGCAGAGCGGCGACGCCACCGCCCGCACGGCACTGCGCGCGGACCCGACCCCGACCCGGAGCGCCGCTCCCCAGGAGCGCTGCTGCCCCCGGGCGGCCGCTGTCAGCACTGCGGGGCCGCCGCCCCCTGCAGGAGTCACCGCCCTCCCCCGCCCTCCCGCAGTGGTTCCGCCCTCGCTCCCCCCACCTCACGTAATGGCCCCGCCCGCTCCCCCCCGCCTCTCCCAAGAATGGTCTCGCCCACCCCTCCGCGTCGCGCCGCCCGACGTGATGACGCACGACGCACGGCGCGTGCTGGCGCGGCGGTGTCATGGCGGCCGGCGCGGCGGGCGTGCGGCCTGCGGGCGGCTGCGGCCGGCGGGGTGCATGCGGGAGGGTCCTGTCGTGGGAGGGAGTGCTGCGGACGGAAGGCCCCGGGAGGCGTCTGTGCTGAGGCAGCTTTAACCGGCAGTGCCCGAGGGTTGAAGTTTCCTGTGGAGGCCTCTTGGATGGGGTTGTGGGGCCGGGCAGCGCTGGCGCTGCACTGCTGCGGCCTCACCTGGCTGTAAGAAGGGAGAAAGTTATCGGAGAGCGTCCGAAGGAGGGCAGCGCGGAGAGGGAAAGGAAGAAAGGGCAACACGAGGAGGGGCGGCTGAGGGCCCTCGATTTGGTTGGCGGAGGGGCGGCGCTCAACTCTGCTCTCTGTGGCACAGGAATGGCGCGGAGCTGGGCCGGGGGTCCGGCCGTGCTCGGCCTCGGGGGCGGTGGGCTCAGCCCCGGACTGCCGGAGCTCAGGGAGCATCGGGACGCCGCTCTCAGCCGTAGGGTTTGGGTGGTGCCGGGGGTTGGACCCGGGGATCCCTGTGGTTCCCTACCAGCTCGGGATGTTCTGTGGTTCTTGGAGGTGCCGTGCTGCTGGTGTCCGTTACTGCCTGCCCTCTGCTGTGTCGCCGCTAGGTGGGCCCCGAGTCCTTGCTGCTCTGCAGGAGGCAGTAGCAGAAGTTTGAGCTCTAGCTTTCACAAAGGAATGGGGGGAGGACTAAATGAGATGAGAGATCCTCCCGGTGCCCACCAGAGCCAGCTCCAGAGCGGGTTAAGTGAACCGTGCAAAGTGAAGGCAAGGAAACTTTGGGCAGCGCCATGCAGTGGGCAGATCAGCTCGCTGTGGTGCAGGGTGTTGGCTGGGATGTGTCTGTGTTGGACCATAACGTTTCAGGAGGATGGGAGTGCGGTTAGTGTGACTGTTGAGTGCTCCAGCAAAACCGCTTTCTTGTGCCCTGGTTTCCCCTGCTGCAGAGAGGTGCTGACAGCCCACCTCTGCCTGCTGCAATTCCTGTGTCTTTTGTTCACTGCCTGGAATGGCAAACCAGAGCATGTTTTGGACTCACTAGAGTCTGAGGTTGGGGTCCAATCCCTGCCTGTATCAGTGCGATGTGCTCAGCCCCAGAGACCCCGCAGCTACAGGATGAGGACTGAGCTGAGCAGAGCACACCAAACGAAGCTGAGATCCTACAAAGGGAGGAGTGTAATGGTGTGGGCCATGTGTAGAGATTGCAGCAGTGGGTTGTGAGATTCTGTAATGCACAAGGGCACGGAGGCATTTTTTCCCTTTTATTACAGGTTACCACAAACCACCGCTAGCAAATAAATATAATAAATATAATTTTTAAAAGGCGGATGTATCTGGATAGCAACTTCTTATAGTTATCACCAGGAAGTGTGTGTGTGCATATATGTGTAGATAGCTCACCTTTGCAGCTACACCCATCAAGGGGCCTCAAGAATATTTCTTTGGGAAAGTGCCCTACTGGCTGGAGTCCTGTTGCCCATTTCACCCCAAAAATGTGATTCAACTGTGTGTGTTCCCCTGGTTGCCTGGCTTTCCTTGCTGGCTGGGGCACTGGGGAAAGAAGTGACAACGGACAAAAGCACTTTTCGTTTGGAGAAGATGAGCCTGGTGCCAGGCAGCCGTCCCCACCCCCAGCCCACTCAGTGGCATGCGAAGCACTCGCCCGCCTCGCAATGCGCCGGGTAAGGAAGCAACAGCTGCTGGGGTCCTTTTGCTGCCTCAGGAGCTGCGACAGCACCCGGGAGCCAGGGATCTAAATTTAAATCTGTGCTTTGTGTGCTGTGCACGCGAACGCAGCCTCCAGCCCCCAGAGTCCGGCTCCTCAGAGAGGGGGATCTGGAGGAGCTCTGGCTGGCTGGGGCTGGGGGCTCAGCCGTGGGGTGAGAGGAGGAGAAACAGCGTGGGGAGAACCACCATGGAGCCTGCGTCCCACCAGGATGATGCAAAGAAGAGGCAACAGAAGGAGAAGTCCAAGAAACCGGTGCCACCAGTAGCCCCTCGGCCAGCCAGGGCTCTGTTCTGCTTAACCCTACAGAACCCACTGCGGAAGGCATGCATCAGCATCGTGGAGTGGAAGTATCCTTCAGGTGGGGGTGCTGGGGATCAGGACCCTCGATCTGCAGGAGGAGAGCTCGCAGCACGCTGCTGCGGTGCCGTGCTTGGGCTTTGTGCTTGGCTGTGCCACTGAGCCAGTGGGGGAGCAGGAAAAGCAATTGGGGACACCTGGAGGATGTGTAAAGGGCAATGGTGCCAGTTGGGGTCAGATGAGCTTGTGTGGGAAGATGGAACTGTGAAGCCATGGGGATCTTTTATGTGGTGGTGTAGGAGCAACTGGGGTGGCAAGGGGCTGCTGGGTGTGAATGTGTTTTGTGCCTGTAGGAGCTGTGCTGAGAGAACCAGGAGAGCCTGCCGGGGTGGGAGAGGTGTGGTGGGGATGGGGCCAGGCAGAGCAGCAGAGCCAGCCTGGGAAGCAGCAGCTGAAGATGGAGCTGGAGACTGCAATGAGAGGGGCTTGGGGTTAGGCAGTGAAACCATGGTGGCATCTGTTCAGCCTTTCTGACACCCTAGGCTGAGAGTAATGATACTGCCTGCTCTCCAGCTGCCTGGAAAAGATCCTGTGCCATGTCAGTGCCTCAGCTTTGTGGCTCTGACAGCAGACGCTGCAGAGCAGAGATGAGCCCCAGTAATGGGAATGTGTGCAGCGATACCAGACCCATGCACTAGGTATCCCCACAGAAGATGGTCGCAGCTAATCCCTACTTGGCAGCTCTCCTGGCCTGACATCCCTAACTGTCCCACGAGGGCTCGTACATCCTGACCCTGAAATGAGGGCAGTCAGGTGCAGGGGGGTATAAATACAGCCGGGTGATGCCACTGCAATCCAGTGCCCAGAATTGTTTGTACTGCCCAGGTCAGAAACACCTTCCTCTCCCTCGACACTCCTTTCCTGATGCATTGATGTGAGAGAGGTCCTCTGTGATCTGCACGCTCTGGCCTGTGCTGACGCAGGACAAGGGATGTGTTTGGGTGTGCTGGAAGACATAGGGTCTGTTTCCAACTCTTCCCCTGCTGCTCGGCTGCGTGCACAAGTGTCCTCCACACCCATTGCCCATTTGAGAGAAACGCAGCTCAGGGAAGGATGTGCTGGTGGGGCATCCCAGAAGCAGAAAAGGAGAATTCTCCGATTTGGGCTCTGCTCCCCTTAATGGTCAGAGAGTCCCTTTGCAGTATGGGAACAAGAGATCAAAATCCACTTCCAGCACTGCGCTGCCTGGCTAAAGTGGCAGGACCTGAGCTGTGATTCCTGCTCTGCTTACGCAGCTTCACCAAAAAGTCACGCATCTCCCTCACCCTCCATCCCTGCACCCACACAAAGGCTGTGATGAATGGTGGCAGGGTGGGCTGCTCCTTTCACCCCCTTTGAGCAGGCACCCAGGTGTTGCTCACCCTACGGTGCCCAACCAGACAGTGGCATGACTGCTGCAGCCCTGTGCTGCGTAATTATCTGGGAATGGAGATAATTAGTTGATTAACCATAGGGTAGGGAAATGCTAGTATGGCTTCAGGGCTGCTGTACTGGGATGCTGAATTTCAAGGGCTGAGCTGCAGGTGCTCGCAGGAGGCTCTGCCCAGGGCGGGATGGGACTGGGGGGGATTTGCAGTTGGCAGTGTAGTTGTGGGTAGGGATGGGGATGGCAGATCTCAAAACAGCTCAGAAGTGGGCACTGGCTGTGGTTGTAACTGTGGGTTGGAGAGGAGGAGGAGCCACGTGAAGTGTGCTGATTTACAGGTGGAGCAGCACTTTCATTTCCTCCACCTGCACTTTGCTCCAGTGCTGCTGATGAGCGCAGGAAAGGCAAACGAATTGGAGAACTGGGAAGCACTCAGCAGTGAACTGGAACCAAAAACTTTTACATGTTTTGTGCCATGCTGTACCTAGAGCTGGCAGCCACGATGTCTCCAGGTGCACAGAGAAGACTCCTTTGCTTTTAGGCATGTGCACAGCTGGAGCACAAGCCTGTGTGGCCTGGATGCGACCGGCAAAGGACAGCGAAAGAGCATGGCTGGCTACTGTTCTTCCAGGGTGGCGTGGGGTGGTGGGTTTCAGCTGTGCTAAAAGGAGAGGCTGTGGTCCATGGGGTGGGAGCCTTGTCATGGCCAAGGTCCTGTGGGAGCGTGAGCCCTTTTGGGACTGCTGGAATGTGACAGCTGAAGCTTGACCTTGAGGTTTCAATGGCACAGCAGAGCAGTGACAGCAGTAGGAGTGACCAAGTGGCTGTCCCTGGGCCTTGGAGGTAAACAGCAGCCCACCCCCTTCATTCAGAGGTGCCCCAGGGCCCAGATGACCCAATTCTCTGTTCCATGGAGGGAGAGAGACTCTGGCACTCAGCAGAACAGCCATGAGTGCGCTGCTGTGTGGGCTGGGGGACGCTGAGGTGTGAGCCATGTGTCTGCTGGCTCAGCTGCCAGCCTGGGGTGGCACAGTGCACCTGAGGTCTGCTGTTCTGCAGCATCTCCCTCCTGGCAGCTGAGCACCGCAACCGCAGCCAGGGCCACCGTGCTCTGGAGTGCAGCGCTCTGTGATCTCTGTTATGGGAGAGGACCTTGAGCCTTCAGAGTGGCTCGCTGAAGGATGAGTAGGGGGAACTCCCAGGTTTCCAAGTCCTCAGCTGCAGCCTTTCGCTCTGTGCTTTGTCCCCTTACGTCCTGTGCGGGTGCTGCCCCTCTCCAGGTCCTGTGTCTAACCCTGCTTCAATTCCCTCTCCTCTCCAGAGACCCAGGAATGGGCAGAGGGAGGCTGTTTCCCTGTGCTTCCCCCACACACACCCCAGCAAGGCAGGGACTGCTTTCCCATCTCTCTCTCTGCTCCTTAACGCTGTTTCAGACCTTTTGAGATCATCATCCTCCTGACCATCTTCGCCAACTGCGTTGCCCTGGCCATCTACCTGCCCATGCCGGAGGATGACACCAACGTGGCCAACTCCAGCCTGGTGAGATTCAGCCCTCCTGCCACCCTCCTCTCTGTAAAGCTGCGGTCAGCCTTCACTGCTCCATGGAGCTCATCCTCAGCGTGCCTGGGCGCCAGGTGATGGCATCTGTGGGGCTGCTGCCCTGCGTGGTGGCACCACGTGTCAGTGCAGCGCGAGGCCACGAATCACAGAGACACCGCTGCAGAATGGGTCTGGAGAGTGGCTGGGAAGAGCTGTAGGTTGAGGGCAAAGGCAGCTGGGTGGTGTGAGAAGTACAGGGGAAGGAAGGGTCTCTCTCTCCCTTTTTTTTTTTTTAATCTCAATGCTTCCAAAAGGAAACTTCCTGTTCCAGAAAGGCTGCAATGCTTTGTTTTAGCATATTTGGGACTGAATTGCCTGGCCATTCATCTCTAAGCTGAATTTTAATTCTGGGACATTTTTTTAAAGAGGAAAAAATAAACCACCCAAACCTCTGTTAAGGAGAGATCACTTCTTCCCAGTCCATTATTCTGTTGTTTCCAGTCCCTCCATCTTGCCTGGAATAAGATGTTTTGGTGTGATCCAAATCAATAGCTTTCATTATTTTCAGTTCACTGTCCCTTTCCCCCTCTTGGATGCCGACTGTAGTTCAATCCGTATTGATTTCTATTGTGAGTCTGAGTTTGGGCACTGACTCAAAGCATCCGAATATGTTGTTTATACCAAAATGTTCTCTTTGCTAATTTCAGGACTCCCCAGTGCTGGGGTGGATGTTGTGTGCAGGCAGTGCTGGCGACTTGTGGCTTAAAAGCACCTCTCTGTATTCTCTCTGTCCCTTACAGAAAAATCTTAAAGTGGTCCAAAAATTTGAGATCTGGAATAGCAAGGAAGGATTTTATTTGAGCGGGTTTCTTCCCTGGCCATGGGAATGTGACAGGGTTTGAAAGGTGCAGAGAGGTCTGTACCAAGAGATGGGGATGGCAGTGACAGGGGAGAAGCAAGAGGTAGGGGTGGCAGCAGTGGATGGGATTTAGCTGAGACCAGGATGCAGGTGGGTGCAGAGCCGTGGGACGCGTGGCAGGGCCCTCACTGAGCTCATTGTATGAAGGGATTTCATCTGCTTGTATTTATTACAAATCATTTTTTTAAATACTCTGCCCAATTTTATTTTTCTCAGCCCGTTGCCATATCAACAGCCCCGGGTATCAGCAGCCTGGCAGCCCCGCTCTGCACATTTCTTTGTCTTCACATTCTGGTGCCTTCGAATGAGCAATCCCTGCTGTGAGCAGAGCCAGATGCCCATTGCCGCGGGTGATGCTGTGCTCTGCGCAGGGCTGCAGACAGAGCAGCAAAGCCTCGTTGGAGGCATTCCTTCCAGCAGCAGCGAGATGCTGCAATGGCTGGGGGCTGCAGGGAAAGAGGCGGCTTGTTGTGGAGGGTCCTGTGTGGCCTCAGGGGCTGGGAGCTGATGTTGCTCTGCAGGCTGGAATTGTGTTGCATTGCATCGGTGTGGTGCGCAGTGTTATTCCTGCTGCTGGGTCTCATTCAGAGCCTGCAGGTCAGGTTACTCCATGTCGCCTAACATTGTTGAAGCATGTCTGTGCAGCCCAGCAGGCTATGAAGATCCGCAGCTTTTTATAGTACTTTTTAAAGGCTGGGCTTGTTGTGCACCCAGCCCCAGGGCAATGCCAGAACAGGTATCAACCCTGCCAGAACAAAACGTCCCCTGGCTGCTTTCTGCTGCTATCCAGTGGCAGCAATAAGTCTGTCCTGGCTCAAGACACGGCTTTGTGGCCTCATGAGTCTCCTGCTCAGCATGTCCTGCAGCTACACCCATAATGTGGGGAATCCAGGAGGTTTGCTGTGATCTGCCTGAGCGAGAGGCTGTCCCACCTCAGCTCAGTGACACACTGACAGTCAGGACATGCTTTTCCTCTGCTGACATTAGCATCTGTCTACAGATTACAGCTAGACAAGGAAGGGGAAACCAGACCCGCAGCTGTAGGACAGGTTATGGGGGGGATCTCTCCAAACAGCACTGATGGAACCCTGCATAGCACCTAATGACCGTGCTGTGAGCTTTCCTACTTCCTACAGAGGTGATACCAGCAGGACAGGTCAGGATGATCCAGCTCTGTGTATGTGATTGGGTCTGCAAAGCACATAACAGAGCTGGAGCTGTACGGATGCTTGCAGCCTCCAAGGAAGGAGTAACTCAGATAGCAGGGGCTGCCTGCTGTCTCTCTCTTGGCCCAGGAGTTCACTTTTGGACGGCTGGGTGCTGATTCTGGGACCAGCCTGGGCCTTGACAGCTGCTGATCTGAAACGTGTGTGGTAGCTGTGTCTGTGTGTCTGGGATTGCAAGGATGGGCTGTGGGGGATCCGTCACTGATAAACGGGGAATGCAAGCATTGCATCAGCTTAGCTGAACGCTTGCAGTGCAGCCCTGATAAGACCCGAAAGTGCAGTGCTGAGGTCTCTGTTCTCTCCACTGCTTCCCTCAGACCTAGCGAGGTCTGGTGCTGTAGGATGGCAGTCATGCAGGGACACTTGGCATGCCCACTGCTTGTGGATGTGGCAACTGAGCAGGCACCGCGTCTGAGCCTTGGCTGTGGTTGCTGGTAAATGGGCAGTGCTTTCTGTTTGCCAAGGCAATGGCCCTGGGGGGGATGCAGAGCCATGGTGTGCTGCTTCCCTCTGCCCTCTGGGTGCCATTCCTGGTGCAGAGCCCAGGGCTGCTCTGTGCCCTCCATGGGGTGCACAGTGAGGAGAGGGGCTGTGGAAAACCAGAAATATAAATATCCCGGTTCATTCGACTGCTTCAGAGGCATTTTAATCCTGGCCTGGAAAGAGCCATCAGCATGGCTGGCTGCAATGGCAGTGACAGGCAGAGCCAGGTGGGCACCCAGCTCTTGGCCGTGCTCCCGTGGAGGCCAAGCTATTCCGGGCCCGGTGGCTGTGCGGGGTGCCAGGATTCAGCTGGCAGCAGGCACAGCTCTGCATGGTGAAGCTCCAGGGCCGGTTTCCTTCCAGCAGCTCAATCTGCCATACTGGGGTCTGGTGTTAGGCGGAGGGCCTTGAGACCTGGGAGGCACCAGGGAGCCACGGCACAGCCAGCTCGTGTCATGGCGGCTGTGGGATGGCTGCAGGACGGCCCCCGGGGCCTCAGCGGGAGAGGCTGTGGGAGGAGAGCTGTGGGGCAGTGGAGACAGCGATGCTGCAGCCGTGTGGTGTGAGGCTGAGGCTGGTGGCACTGCTCTAACAGGGTGCGTTCTGCTGCTTGCAATCCCCAGGAGAAGTTCGAATATGCCTTCCTGATCTTCTTTGCCATCGAGGCCATGCTCAAGATAATAGCTTACGGGTTTCTGTTCCATACGGATGCCTATCTCCGAAATGGCTGGAATGTGCTCGACTTCTCCATCGTGTCCCTGGGGTAATGAAGGGGGGAAGCTCCTCGCGCTCTGGTTGCATGGTCCATAGCCTGTCAACCACACTCCTTTTTTCTGCTGACTGCAGTGGGTTTTAGGACAAGATCATGGAATCACTAAGATTGGAAAAGACCTCTGAGATACCCGAGCTCAACCCCAATCCATCCCCACCATGCCCACTGACCATGTCTCCCAGAGCCACATCTCCACATTTCCTGAACGTCTCCAGGGATGGTGGCTCCACCACCTCCCTGAGCAGCCTGTGCCAATGCTGACTGCTCTTTAGGAGAAAAAATTGTTCCTAATATCCAACCTGACCCTCCGCTGGTGCAGTGCGAGGCCATCACCTCTCGTTCTGTCACTGTTACCTGGGAGCAGAGACCAAACTCCTTTCAGATAGATGTAGAGAGCAATAACATTTGTCCTGATCTCAGCTCATTGCCTTCTCCCAAGGGCCCCATTTTCTTGCCCTGGAACCCTCTGTAACTCCCATTTCTTCTTCCCTGTCCTCCCAGTTCCTGTCAGATCTCCTTGCCCTGGGTAGCAGGAGGGCACAGTGTTTTCCAGTGTTTGGCACAGGGAACGGGCCCACTAGGGATAGGATGGGAGGGCGCCTGGGTGCTCGGCAGAGCTGCTTGCACCAGCTGCTCCAGCAGAGATTCCTGGTCTCCATCCTCATGCACTTCTCTTCCTCCTCGTCCTTCCTTCCTTCTCCCCTTTCCCCTCCCTGCACTGTGCCCTGGCTCTTTCAGGCTTGTCACCATGACCCTGGAGCAGATCAATGCAAAGGAGGGAGGGTCTCTGGGAGGGAAAGGTGGCTTTGATGTGAAGGCCCTGCGAGCATTTCGTGTGCTGAGACCTCTGCGCCTGGTGTCTGGAGTGCCAAGTGAGTGCTGGGCCCTTGTTAACAGGAGGGGCTGTGGGGTTTTGGCCATAGGACAGGTTCTGTTTGCTGCTGGTCCACACCCAGCCACAATATGGATGTAGAAGTGCTGCAGTGTCACATCTCCCTGCTGCTTGAATTTGTCAGTGCTGGGATCTGCAGGTCAGCATGCACATAACTCCCACCGTGGCTTGGTGTCAGCACCTTTGGGTGGTTGGTGCGTTCAGGGTCTCACTTTAGTTTCTCTTGGCAGAGCTCTCATTTTCCTGTAGCTTATGTAGATACAGCCGTGAAGAGAACAACAAAACGGATGGGCATGAAATAGTCTCCAGCACTGCCTGGAGAATGGCTCTGCTGGGGTGTTCCAGCAGCCTGCATTGCGGGTGGAAAGCAGCAAGAAATTGCTGCAGAGATTTCAGTTCATGTTGGGACTTTCCTTGGTGTGGGGCATTTCAGAGGGGCTGTCAGGAACACAGGGTGCACCCAAAGCTGTTTGAGATGTGGCTGAGACCCTCTCCTTTCTCCCTGGTGCAGGTCTGCAGGTTGTCCTGAACTCCATTATCAAAGCCATGGTGCCTCTGCTGCACATCGCGCTGCTCGTCCTCTTCATGATCATCATCTATGCCATTGTGGGGCAAGAGCTCTTCAAGGGCAAGATGCACAAGACCTGCTACTACCTCGGGACAGGTGGGGCTGTGGCAGGGAGTGAGAAGTCAGAGATACCTCTGTGTGCTTTTGGGACCACAGAGCCTCTGTGGTAGCAGAAAGCCTGGGAGTGTGGTGTGGCAGGCTGGAAAGGCACGTGGTACAGGACGTGGATGGGGTGAGGAAGTGGTGAAAGCCTCTGCAGGAGATCGGGGGGTGCTGGGAACTGCTCATCTTGCCCAACCTGCCACTTATGTTACGGCTTTTCCCCACAGATGTGATTGCCACAGTAGGGTCAGAGAAGCCAGCCCCCTGCACAATCTCTGGCCATGGGCGTCACTGCTCCATCAATGGCACCGAGTGCCGAGGCGGCTGGCCGGGACCCAACAACGGCATCACTCACTTCGATAACTTTGGCTTTGCCATGCTGACTGTCTACCAGTGCATCACCATGGAGGGCTGGACCGAAGTGCTCTACTGGGTGAGCTTCAGTGGCCTGGGCTGGGTGCCCAGCTCGGTGCTGGTGAATGCTAGTTCTGCCTGGCAGGACGCAGGACGCAAGAGGTTAGATCAGCCCCCCACCAAAAGATGCCCTTCCCCAGCAATCTTCATACTGTGGTGCACATCCCATCATGCGCCACGCATGTCCACGTGTCACTATCCAAGAAGCCTTTGCTCTCCATATAGACAGACAGCAGAGAGCTCTATCTCCCACCTTTGGGAAAGGGTATAGACCACTCAGTGTTTCTCCAACGAAAAAATGTGTTGTTCAGTCTTTGGGAGACTGTCTTGCTGAGGCTTAGGTATGAAGCTGATGTGTAAATCTGCTCCCAGATGCTTAGGTCTGGCTGTTCCTCCACTGAGGTAAGGAGCTAGGCTCTCAGGTGAATTTATGTCCCACCCAAACGCTCCCTTCAGAGGAACAAAGCTTCTGCAGCCTGCTGGGGGCTCCCAGGAAAGACAGCTGGAAGAGCGTTTTGAGGATACATCGTCTGCCTCTCTCCTTGCCAGGTTAACGATGCCATTGGGAATGAATGGCCCTGGATCTACTTTGTCAGCCTTATTTTGCTTGGTTCCTTCTTTGTTCTCAACCTGGTGCTGGGGGTGCTCAGTGGGTAAGTGCCCCAGTCCCTTCTCTTTGCCAGATTGGTGAGCAGTGTGGACATTGCCCGTGTGGGAAGAAAGCTTTGATATTTTCTGTTCCTTGTCCTCTTTCAGTCAGCCTTTTTCCTTGCATGCTTAGAAACACTGAACCTCCAGTTACCTTTTGTACCAGCTTCTGTGACCATCTGAGATTTTAGCTCAATGCAGAATTCCTTTTCCTGCAGTAAAAGCACCCATCAGCAGATGCAGCCTTTAGCCCTGGCTGGCCTGTCTAGCCGCAGCCTCCTGCAGCAAGGAGCTGCACTGGTGGTGGGGAGGAAGCCAACAAGGAGTTGGTGATATCCCATGATCTTGGATCATGGAGTGAGGCCAAGATGGAGAACAGTCAGTAGGGCGGTCTCTTGGTGCTAGGGGAGTTCAAGGCTGTATCCTTGTCCAAGGACCCGTCTGCCACAGGACTGTGGTACACGGCCTCTGCACAGCTCCTCTCTGCTGCTTGCCTTGTCCCAGGGAGTTCACCAAAGAGCGTGAGAAGGCCAAGTCACGAGGCACATTTCAGAAGCTGCGGGAGAAGCAGCAGCTGGAGGAGGATCTGAAGGGCTACATGGACTGGATCACCCATGCAGAGGTGATGGACAGTCACCGGACCAGAGGAGAAGGTACCAGCAATCTGTGCGTTGGGTTCCTGGGTGAGCATTGGAAAAGTTGCAGACTTGTTTTGTCTAAAAACCCAGGAAACAAAATGCTTTTGCAGAAGCTCTACCTCAGCTGCTGTCCTTAGCAGACTGCAGGGTTACCAGCTCTCCCACTGGCAGATGCACGAGTTTCCCAACAGGGCCTGGGGAAAGACCAAACACGTCTTCCACACCTGCAGCCAGTGCTCTCCTTCTGTTCTGCATTTACTCACATCCCAGCTGGGCCCAGTTTTCTCTGTGCTGCTGATGCTGCTGCTCTTGCTGCAGGGCGGTGTTCCTGGGGCCTGCTGGGTGTGCTGCATCTGACAGTTGCAGCCTCCTGCTCAGCCTGTCTCTGCTGTCTCACTGGGACAGCGGTTCTCCACGTCTCTTCTGAAGGGGGCTCTCTTCCAGGCGTGCTTCTGGGAGAGATGCCCTCCTGCATGTTCTACTCAAGGGCTCCAAGGACAGCTTGGGCTGTCGTTCCCTCTGTAGGTATGATGCCGCTGGATGAAGGAGGGTCGGAGACAGAGAGCTTGTATGAAATCGAGGGCATGAACAAATGGATTCTCTACTTGTGAGTATGCACAGGTGAACCATCTCCTGGGTTTGGCTGGCAGCTCTGGCTGGGCCAGGCTTTTTGTTGTGTGGGGAGAGCTGGGGGCTGTGTGTTCAGGAGGAGTAGAGTCCCAAAAAAAGGAAGCAGAGGTGGCTTTGCTCTGTTCTGCTGGCACTGATGGCCCTGCTCACCCTGTGGCCTTCTCTCCAGCCGGCAGTGGAGGCGTTGGAACCGAATGTTTCGTAGGAAGTGCAGGCATGTGGTGAAATCCAAGTTCTTCTACTGGCTGGTCATCCTGCTGGTGGCACTGAACACCCTCTCCATTGCCTCTGAGCACCATTTCCAGCCCGAATGGCTGACGATTGTACAAGGTAAGACCCAGGGAGAGGGAGGGTCCTGGACTCCTCACTGCCATGTAGACATGGTGGATTCTTACTGTGCCTGCACAGCCATTGGCAAAGCACAGCGACTGTCAGACACGTGCAGACATACCCATGCACACAGGTGTGTGTGCACCATCCACACGTGCACGACTGCACATTGCACACACGTGCTGTGTGCACATACATGCATAGAATATATTCTTTGACACGGTGAACTGGCGGAGTGCATGCATTTACAAGTGTACATGCATAGGCACATAAGCACACATTGCATATGCTCACACAGTACAGACACACAGCACAGGCTGTTATCACACCGCATGGCTCACAGACATGATGTGTAGCACACATACACAGCTCAGCCATGCGTACACTCACTGCATGCAGACACACTCTGTGGACTCGAACATGACTGCATGTGTCACCCTTCTCCTTATCCTTTCCTGGGTCCTCCTTGGAAAGTTGCTATTGCTGCAATGGTGGCAGGGCAGGATGTGGCAGTGCTGTCCTCCATCTGTTCCTGCTGTGCCATGCTGAGATGAACAGGTCCATGCTCTGATGGCCTGAATGTCCCCCCCAGACAACGCCAACCGGGTGCTGCTTGCTCTCTTTGTGGCCGAAATGCTGCTGAAGATGTACGCGCTGGGCCTGCGCCAGTACTTCATGTCCCTCTTCAACCGCTTCGACTGCTTTGTTGTGTGTGCGGGGGTCCTGGAGATCATCCTGGTGGAGCTCAGCACTTTGTCACCCCTGGGCATCTCTGTGCTGCGCTGCATCCGGCTGCTCCGCATCTTCAAGATCACCAGGTTGGTGTGGGAGCTGGGAAGCAGAGCTGGTGTCCGCAGGTGCCAGTGGCTCCTGGGGTGGTGAACGAGGCCATGCTGGCATTCTCTTTGTCCCCAAGATGTGGTGAGAGAGTGAGGAGGAAGACAGAGCAGGGCTTAGTGGAAGTCTTGTGGCGTCCCTTGGAGCTCTGGGTGCTCAGCTGAGATAAATGGGGGTGCTGGAGCCCAGGTCCAGTGGCTTCAATCTGTCTTGCCTGTCACACCACTCTTGGAGCTCCATTTCCATCTCCTGGGGCCTGGCTGGAGGAGTCCCAGCACTCAGAGCCCATTCACTGGGTTGCCCCATTCCACCTCTTGCACACTTCTCTCTCCAGGTACTGGACGTCACTGAGTAACCTGGTGGCCTCTCTGCTCAACTCGGTGCGCTCCATTGCCTCTCTGCTACTCCTTCTCTTCTTGTTCATCATTGTCTTTGCCCTGTTGGGCATGCAGCTCTTTGGGGGCATGTATGACTTTGAGGACATGGAAGTCCGACGCAGCACATTTGACAACTTCCCCCAGGCCCTCATCAGTGTCTTCCAGGTATGGCGCTGCAGCAAGCAGGGCAAGGGAGATGTAAGATGGGGTGCCTGGATTTTCCCTGGGCTGTGCGGCTCCTCGGGATTGGGAGAGGTATGGGTTCATGGGAGGCTGGAACAGAAAGATAGGAATGGGGTCATGAAGAGTGTAGGGTCAGGGGTGGAACAGGATGCGAGACCTGGCAGTGACACTGGAGCAGGACTGAGCCTGGGGTTCTGTCCTGCTTCTCCTCACACTGTGTCTGCTCTTCTCTCAGATCCTGACTGGAGAGGACTGGAATTCAATAATGTACAATGGGATAATGGCTTATGGGGGCCCATCCTTCCCCGGCATGCTGGTCTGCATCTACTTCATCATCCTCTTTGTCTGTGGGAACTGTATCCTCTGACGTCAAAGCTGTGTCCAGGCTCCGTCTCACCCCCATAGACTGCTCCAGCTGCACAGGACTGTGCAGACTGCTCTGTGTGTGTGTGTGTGTGTAAGGAGTGATCTGAAGGACGGGGCCATCAGCCCAGAGCTCAGCACTTGAATACACAGGGTCAGGGATCACCAGCCAGGGCTGTAACAAGAGCTCATCTCCAAGAACGTTTCTCAGAGCAAAGCAGAGGCTGCGGACAGCCCTGGCCATATCCTCCAAACACAGCCAAGTTCATGTCCTTAGTGCTAGCCCTCCAGATATCCTCCTCAATGTCTTCCTGGCCATTGCAGTTGATAATCTGGCTGAGGCTGAGAGCCTGACCTCAGCTCAGAAGGCCAAAGCTGAGGAACGCAAGCGGCGGAAGATGTCCAGGTGAGTGCTGCAGCACAGGGCAGTGGGAACTCCCCAGCCAGGTGCTCTGGACAACAGGATTGAATGGTATTACCTGTGCCCCTGCCCTGAGTTCTGTCCTTGTTTTCCTCTGCCTTCCACTCAGAGGTTACCCAGAAAAGTCTGAAGATGAAAAACAGATGTTGGCAAAGAAGCTTGAGCAGAAGGCGAAGGGAGAAGGGATTCCCACAACAGCCAAGGTCAGTGCTGGTGGGTTGGGCCCTGGGGAGGTCTTGGTGGAGAAGCAGGTGCCTCCTGCCACCAGCCAGGGCTGACAAAGGCTTGGAGCTCACCTGAATATGGCACACTTACCTGCATGTCTGCCTCTCGGTCTCTCTTTCAGTTGAAAGTGGATGAATTTGAATCCAATGTCAATGAAATCAAAGATCCCTACCCCTCCGCAGACTTCCCAGGTCAGTCCAGAAATAGTGGGGATGTTGCAGAGGGACGCTGCTGCAGCCTGGCTGTGTAGTGAAGGTTACGACATCGGGGCACTGAGGTTACATTGCTTCTCTTGCAAAACTTCCTATTGACCACCCTGCAGGTGATGATGAGGAGGATGAGCCTGAAATCCCCCTGAGTCCTCGGCCGCGTCCTCTGGCAGAGCTCCAGCTGAAAGAGAAGGCTGTGCCTATGCCTGAAGCCAGCTCCTTCTTCATCTTCAGCCCAACAAATAAGTAAGCGCTGAGCCTTCTCCCTGCTACTGGCACAGATATCCCTTTGTGCCTGGGGCCTTTCTGTTCTCAAGGCTTAGCCAGAATTCTCTTGCTGGCTACCATGGCTCCCATCTACTGTCCCTCTTGCAGTGTCTTGCTGTCTTTGTCCCCTGCAGGTTTCGGATGCTGTGCCACAGAATCGTCAACGCCACTTGGTTCACCAACTTCATCCTGCTCTTCATCTTGCTCAGCAGCATCTCCCTGGCAGCTGAGGATCCCATCCGAGCCGAGTCGTTCCGCAACCAGGTGCCTGTGTGGCTCTGCAGGGCTGCGCTCCTCCATGTGCAGAGCAGAGGGCAAAAAACAGTGGCAGGCCTTTTGAAATTGCTGCGTTTCTCATGTCACCCAAATCTCATCTAATTCTGGTGCTTGTGCCCCCAGATTCTTGGATACTTTGACATCGGTTTCACTTCTGTCTTCACTGTTGAAATTGTCTTGAAGGTAACTCTCTCTGCTTCTGTGGTCCCAGCACATGGGTCTAGATGTGCTCTGGCCGTGGGTACAAGCGCCAGTCCCCACGAGGGGAGGCTGTTAGCTGAGCCTGGAGTTCTCAGAGCTCGTGATGCCTTGGCAATGCGTGATCTGCCCCAGGGGCCTTGTGCAGTCAGGTCAGGCAGCTGTGTCAGCTGTGCTGTGGTGCTGGGACAGATGGGCTACAGCGACAGCGTTTTTGTGAAGAAAAAAAAAACAGAGTAAGCAATGACAATCTGTGAGTTAAACAGTAATTCAAGCAGCTGCTGCATATTGCTCTCACTGTAAGACATGTACTCTTCTCCAATTTGCTGAATGACGGGAAGAATTTTGCTTCCAGCCAGTGCTATGCAGAGGATTCCAGCTGCAGCCAGCTGTCTGCCTGGCTTCAGAGCCAGGGTGTGAGCAGCACAGAGCCCGCAGAGCTGCAAGAAACTCCCTGCACCCTGTCTGCCTGGGGCTGCAGAGGGACACTGCCCCGAGCCCTGCCTTGCTGCTCTGCTAACTCCTTCTGCTCTCCAGATGACAGCATACGGTGCTTTCCTGCACAAAGGCTCCTTCTGCAGGAACTCATTCAACATCCTTGACTTGCTGGTGGTTGCTGTGTCCCTTGTCTCCATGGGATTCGAGTAAGCACCTCCATGCTTTGTGGAGCAGGCACTGATTGCTTTGCCTGGTGGGGCAGCTGGGGTTGTGCAGCTGGTTCTGTTGGGTAGAAAAGGAGCTGCTAACCCTGGGCGGCGTGTTAGCACCCAAAAATTGTAGCTTTGTGGCCATCAGGCATGGGTGGGAGGCTGGGAGGCAAACTCCTTGAGTAACAAAGGAAAAGTTCTGGGTGGGAATTCAGTCTGGAGTCACTTTGTCCCAGTGGTGGTGTCCCTAACCCTGATGTGGAATGATGGCTGTAGTGATATCTCTGCCATCCCTCAGTGCTGGAGCCTTGCTGGGGCTGTGCTGGGGTGCCAGCATGGAGGGAATTGCTCTGCCTCAGCCCTGCCTTCCTCCTCAGGTCCAGCACCATCTCAGTGGTGAAGATCCTCCGGGTGCTGAGGGTGCTGAGGCCTCTGCGAGCCATTAACAGAGCGAAGGGTCTGAAGGTAAGAGGTGACTGGGATCCTCAACCCATGGGAGGTTATGTGTCAGGCTTTGCGCCCTGTAGGGTTCACAGGGCTGGGAACACAATTCCCACACCCCATCTATGGAAGGAGCTTGCTCCATCCACTGCCCCTTGGCAGATTCCTGCTTTACACGTCTGTCCCTGCTGTCAGTGGGCCAGGAGCAGAAGGTGAGACTTTGCCGCAAGCACACTCACGTGTCCTCTGTCCTCAACCTCTGCAGCACGTGGTCCAGTGCGTGTTCGTGGCCATCAAAACCATTGGTAACATTGTGGTCGTCACGACGTTGCTGCAGTTCATGTTTGCCTGCATCGGGGTGCAGCTCTTCAAGGTGAGAGATGTCTCAGATGGGCAGGAGATGGGCAGCTTTGTTCTAAAAACTGAGCCCGAATTCCTAACTGATGTGGGGATAGCTTCCAGGACTCCCTGCAGACTGAGCTGATCTATCAGCATGTGTTAACTTCCAGTTCATTTACTTTGGTTGCTTCTTTATTTTCCAAGTAGTTTGCTGCCAGGCAGAATGAGCTGGTAATGCCTCAGCTTGGGGCTCTGGAAGAAACGTTGCCACTGCATCTCTAGGCAGCGTTTGTCTGTCTTGACCTAGGATTGACCAAAGGGTCTGCCCTGCCCCAGGGCGCCCTGTGAGCGCCAGGCTGGGTTGTGCTGGCAGCACATAAGCATGCTGGGCTGAGGCAGAGGCCAGAGCTAGCATGGTGGCTGGGAAGGGACTGATGGGTCTGTGCAAAAGTCAAAGCTCACAGCAAAATCACAGCTTTTTCTGATCTCTGTCAAATGCAGGGCAAGTTTTACAGCTGCACAGATCCCTCCAAGCTAACAGAGAAGGAGTGCAGGTAAGAGCTCCCCGCAGCGCAGCCCAGCGGGGCAGCAGCAGAGAGTATGGGGACATTTTTGTGCCTGCATGGGGATCTTGCAGATAAAAATAAGGGGCTGGAGGTCCTGTGCTGCTGCCTCTCATCCTGGGGCAAAAATAGCACAAGGTCACGTCCCCTCCCAGGGGTAAGCAGTGGGTGGGCAGGGGCTGTGCTGGGTGAGTACCGCATCTCTTCTGCTGCAGGGGGCATTTCATCAACTACGTGGATGGGGACCCAACACAGATCGAGCTGAAGGAGCGGGTCTGGTTCCACAATGCCTTTCACTTCAACAATGTCTTCTCAGCCATGATGTCGCTTTTCACTGTCTCCACCTTCGAGGGCTGGCCAGAGTGAGTCTGGTGTGTGCAGGGCCAAAGGGCCGGGTCTGTGCTGTGAGCTGGGGAGCCTTTACCAGGGAAAGAAGAGCTGCCTGGGCTGAGGAGCAGGGCTAACCTGGTAGGGGCTGTGGAGCCAATGGGATAATCTCCTGTTCCACCTCTGTTGGATTTAGGATGTCCCCAGCGTTCTCCGTGTCCTTCACGAAGACAGATGGGCTTCCTCCCTTAACCGGGGTCTCTATTGCCTTGTTTTCCCTCCTGTAGGCTGCTGTACAGGGCCATTGACACTAATGATGAGAACAAAGGCCCTATATACAACTACCGGGTGGAGATCGCAATGTTCTTCATCATCTACATCATCCTCATTGCCTTCTTCATGATGAACATCTTTGTGGGCTTTGTCATTGTCACCTTCCAGGAGCAGGGGGAGAGCGAGTACAAGAACTGCGAGCTGGACAAGAACCAGGTACTGGAGCTGCTGGGATGGGGTGAGCTGGACCAGCCCCGGCTCTAATTGACTGCATCAGCTCTGGGTGCTGGCACTGCTGCCCTGGATGAACTGACCCTTCCCCAGGTTCAGTTCACGCCGGCTCTGTGCCTGTGCCCTGGCACTGCCCCGTGCAGCTCCATGTGGTCACACTGCCCTGCTCTCCCCAGCGCCAGTGTGTGCAGTACGCTCTGAAGGCTCGCCCGCTGCGGCGGTACATCCCCAAGAACCCCTACCAATACCAGATCTGGTACGTGGTCACCTCCTCCTACTTTGAGTACCTCATGTTCTTCCTGATCATGCTGAACACCATCTGCCTGGGCATGCAGGTAAGGGATGGAGTGCAGGGCTCGGCAGGTGGAGGGGTGTCCATGGCTCCCCAAAACCCTTCCTGGGGTCTTTCTTACATGGCCACGCTGCTGGCAAGGGACAAAGTGGGGCAGACTGGATGAGGGGAGCTGCAGGAAGTGGATTTTCATTTTTGCTGACCCCTCCTGAGCCATGGGTCTGGAAGAGGATGGACCTCATGCAGCCCACGCCTCTGGGCTTACAGGGGAGGCTGGGACTGCTGTGGGCTAATGGGATTCTCCTGCCTTCTCAGCATTACAACCAGTCTGCAGAAATGAACCACGTCTCAGACATCCTCAATGTGGCCTTTACTGTCCTCTTCACCCTGGAGATGATGCTCAAGCTCATGGCCTTTAAAGCCAAGGTGAGAGCAAGGCACAGTCTTTCACAGAGCATTGCATTTTGCAGTGAGGTGGTCTTCCTCATCCTGGGTGATGCTATTTGGGCTGCTCACTTTCCTGGCGTTCCTTGCTGCCGGTGGACCGCTGGGCTCTGCCAGCCCTGTGCTTGGGGCAGCACCACAGCCTGGCAGCTAAGGTGTGGGGTCTGCTGAGCCCCTCTTGTTAGACTCTCATTTCTGTGGGTTCCAGCACAGGTTTGCTCTTTCCTGGCAGGGCTACTTTGGGGACCCCTGGAATGTCTTCGACTTCCTCATAGTGATTGGCAGCATCATCGATGTCATCCTCAGCGAGATTGATGTAAGTGTCACGCTGGTCGGGCAGAGGGTGTCCCAAGGAGCATCAGTGCCTGCAGCACCTGCCCCAGGGTGAGCTGGTGATGCCTCAGCTCTGTGGGGCACAGCCATCCTCTCTTCTCCCTCTGCCATGCTCTGAGGAGGGACAAGCCAGGATCAGCCTGTGGCATGGCTATTTCATGGACACAGGGGTCTGTACCCAGCCTACCAACATGTCACTCTGTGCCCTCCCTTCCCAAGAGCCTGTAGACACTGGGATCCCATGGCAAGCAGCATACCTGGTCCCAGCTGGGCCATGAGCAGCACAGTGCGCGGCAACCCCAGCCCCACTTGCCCTGCTTGTCTTCCACATGTGCCCCTCTGGACAGGGAATCTCCCATGTGTCCATCCTCAGATCCTCAGTGCACGTGGGAAGAGGGTGCTCCCCTCAGATCCCTGTGCTCACATCACACTGCTGGCCCGCACTGTGGGCGGATCAGACACGTCAAATTTCAGTGCATTTGCTTTGTGTGTGTCCTTGTATGCAGCAATCAATAGGCTGTCTGTGTATACGTGCACATGTGTGCACTATGCACTACTGCAGAACTCTACACCACACACACAGAGTGAAGGGGTGAGGCAGGCAGTGGCTAATTGCTGAATGCTTTACTGGGAGCACTTTCAGAGCAGCGTTGGTGAGCCGCGTGCCACTGCCTGTCACAGCACAGGGACTTCCACGCCCCATGTGGAAGGAGGGGGGTCATGCACTGCCTTTGACGCATCCCACAGTAACTGGGAGCACTGTAGGATCAGGTGCCACAGCCACGGTGTGCTGAGTGACCTCCGGCTGCTCTCAGTGCTGGGCAGAGAGTGCTTAGGGGCTCTTTGTTGGCAAACCACCTTCCTCCCTCGAGGACGCTCCAGGGCTCACAGAGCCTCAGATGTTCCACCCTGCATGGCCATTCTTGGAGCCTCTGGGCTTCTCAGCCTCGCTGTGCTCCTGGTGAGTGCCCAGGAGCTGTGTGCAATCACTGCACCCACCACTGCTCGCCTTGCTGCTGCAGGGTTGTTGGTGGCTGGTGCTTTGTCAAAAGTGTGACCCTCACAAAAGAAGTCTGCGCCCACCTCTCAGTGCTGAGCCACTCCTGAGTGCCCCAAGGCTCTGGTTTGCAAAGTCTGTCCTTTCTTCCTCTCTTTCCATTCTGCTTCTTTTCCACTCCTTCATGTCTCTGTCTGTCTGGGATGAGAATGTGCTATCAGGAGACCTCGACTCCTCCCAGAGCCCAGGTTCTCACTGTTGTTCCATCACCAGGTTCCCACAGACCCCATGGGATATTCATAGAATCAAAGGAAGGCTTGGGATGGAAGGGACTTCAAAGAGCATCCAGTTGCAACCGCCCTGCTGTGAGCAGTGTTGCCAGCCGCTAAATCAGGCACTAGATCAGGTTGTCCAGAGCCCCACCACCCGGCCTGGCCTTCATCACCGCCGGGGATGGGGAACCCTCTGCTCTCGGGAAGGGGGAAGTGGAGATGGGAGACCCTCTGGCAGTGCCGCCTCGTGCAGAACACGGGGCTGGCAGTATCTGTGCATGTTGGAGCTTGCTCCCCAGCAAACCAGTGCTGTGTGCTGGGTTTTCAAAGAGGCAGAGCAGGAGCAGCATAGCCTGCAGGGCAGGGAGCTGTGGGTTAGCTTCAACCTGTCAGCTGGCCTCCAGATCCCACCTGCCGCATCATGTGCCTGGTCTGGTGGTAACTGCTGGCAGGCAGCTAAATCCCCCTGTCCTGAGCTTTTGCACAGATTTCCTGGCCTGTGTGTCTCTGTTCCAGGCACATGGGTGAGGTGCAATGGGGCATGGAGGTGATAAGTCCCTTGTGGTCACTGTGTTCCTATGGCCATCTGTCTGCTGCCTCAGCCCCACAAAAGACACAGTGCCTTGTCTGACGAGCCCCAGTGTTGGCTTCCTGCCCATCCTTCCCCTGTGCTCCTCACTCATTCTCCTCCTCCTGTCCCCAGTTTCTGTCTTACTCTTTCTTCTGTGTCTGCACCACCACCTTCTGCAATCACTCCTCTCTCATTTCTGCCTCCTTCTGACTCTCTTGTTCTCTCGACAGACTGTTCTTGCATCCAGTGGTGGATTGTACTGCCTTGGCGGAGGCTGTGATAACATTGTAAATATCAGCTGCATGTGCTTGCAGTGGCTCCCTTCCCCCTTTGCTGCCCTTACCCTTGCCAGCCTTCCTGTGGCCAACACGTGCACGTGTCCTGCATGTCATGAAGACACACCAAGCCCTGCTGCTTTCCCCTGGTGTGCAGATCTCCCCTCTAGAAGCCCAAGTGCCAAGCTTCAAAAACGGGTAGAGCTTGCCTGTCGGGGGCCCACGTGCAGCACTGGAGGCTGGTGCATCCCTGAGCCCCCAGTTGCCCCCAGGGAATCTTCTTGGGGGTGCCAGGGTGCTGGGCACTGGAAGAGGCTGTCCAGAGAAGCTGCGAGTGCCCCATCTCTGGAGGACTGGGGACCCCTACCCCCCCCCGATCTGTTCCTCTCTTGTCTGCTGTCCTCTTCTGCCTGCAGGACCCGGATGACAACTCCCGTGTCTCCATCACTTTCTTCCGGCTGTTCCGGGTGATGCGGCTGGTGAAGCTGCTGAGCCGGGGAGAAGGTGTCAGGACCCTGCTGTGGACCTTCATCAAATCCTTCCAGGTCTGTGAGGAACAGCACTCCCCTCCATAGACAAGCATCGACCCTGGGCTGGCAGAGAACTCCTCCCCTCAGGCTGCAGGGAGCTGGGCATCCTGTGCATGAGAACTGGAGAGTGAGGCTGGTGGGAGGCTGTCTGGGGGCTGAGGGGGGCAGAAAGCTGTCTTTTCTTCATGTGCAGGCCAAAGTGCTGACCCCTGAGCAGCTCCAGAGCCAGTCTGCTGTCCCCGGGTCACTTTGGTCCTACGCTGATGTCTCTCACACGCTGTGGTCCTTTTGTCACAGGCTCTGCCCTATGTTGCCCTGCTGATCGTGATGCTATTCTTCATCTATGCTGTGATTGGGATGCAGGTGAGAGAGGCACAGGGAATTCCTCTTGAACAGAGATAGACCTCAGCCTGGTAGCATCTGGGAGATGGGATGGAGAGGGACTGGCTTCTCTGCCAGCCACTCCCAGGGACTGCATATGTTGGGACCATTTTCCCCTGGTCTACAAGGATGCCCCCAATCCCAAAAGCCTCAGCACCCAAAGAACAAGCAGAAAGGGAACTTAAAGACAGAGGCTTTGGAAGGTAGAGAGCGCCTGAGGAAGGATGCTGGAGACCTGAAGGTGTGATTTACAGATGTTTGGGAAGATTGCCATGGTGGATGGAACCCAGATCAACCGAAACAACAACTTCCAAACCTTCCCACAAGCTGTGCTGCTGCTCTTCAGGTCAGTGCTGGCAGCTGCAGAGGGGACCTGGGCTGCAGGTCAGTGTGGAAGCCCTCTGGTTTGAAGTAAGGGACACCGGCGTTTCTGCAGCTGATTTAATTTGCTTTCCTCAAGAAAAATGTCTTGTAGGAATGGAAGCATTTTAGGAGTGGCTCTTGCTTTCCCTGGTGCGGCTGAGCTGCAGACCAGGAGTCCTGTGGGGTTTCTGTTCTGAATGTTTCCTTCCAAGGCTAGATTTTAATCAGTGAATTTTTCAGAAAAGGGGGAACAAAGAAGCAGACCAGGGCTTCCCTTGTCTCCAAACACTTCCCAGCGGAGCACGCAACAACAGCTCCCCCTTCTCCCCAGGTGTGCCACGGGGGAGGCCTGGCAGGAGATCCTGCTGGACTGCAGCTACGGAAAGCGGTGCGACCCTGAGTCCGACTACGCGGAGGGCGAGGAGTACACCTGTGGCACGGGCTTTGCCTACTTCTATTTCATCAGCTTCTACATGCTCTGTGCCTTCCTGGTATGGCAGCTGCTGCAGTCTGAACTCCCTTTCACACCGCTCCTGGTTCGGGGCAGCTCCTGGCTGCTGAGCATCTCCTGGGGCTGACCACTGCGCCTTCCTCCCGGAGGCACGAATCCCCCAGCCCATCTCCCTGGCCGTGTTGCGCCTGGTGCCGCGCTCCATTGAGGCCCCAAATCCCCTGAGTCCCATCACACAGCTCCATGTGCTGCCGTCCAGACGAGCGCTGATGTCCGTGTTGTGTCATGCGGGTGGAGGGGGAGAGCTGCCCCGAATTGCTGCCCTTCACATAATGCTCTCAGATGGGAGGTTCAGCTCCGTGTGGGCTCATCAGGAACATCTGTGAGCCCCTTCTGACGCAGGACAGCAACCTTCAGCCCTCTCCTTTGCCCTCAGATCATTAATCTCTTTGTGGCCGTCATCATGGACAACTTTGACTACCTCACACGTGACTGGTCCATCCTGGGCCCCCACCACCTGGACGAGTTCAAACGGATCTGGGCCGAGTACGACCCCGAAGCCAAGTGAGTGACCATGTGGCATGGCAGGTGGAGAGCAGTGCCAGGACCTGGGGCTGCCCTTTGCTGCAGCCCAGGGCAGAGTGAGCTGTATTGCTGCCTGGCATTACATTCCACAGTAGAAGTGTGTGTGGACTTGCCAGCTTGTCCCAGACTGACATAAGCCATCAGGAGGTTTGGGGACACCAGACCCCCAGTCCTAGCCTCATCCAGTCCAGATGCTGCTGCTGACTCTTTCCATGCACTGCTCACCTTTATCTACCATCTGTTGCCTTGGGGAGCAGTCATTTCCCCCAAAAGGAGCACAGAGAAGGGATTTACCCACCACAGGAGAACGGGGCAGGCCATGAAGATGATTCCACACAGCCCTTGCTCAAAACCCTGTCCCTGTTTGCATGCCACAGCCCTGCTGACACAGCTTGTCTCCTCCCCAGGGGCAGGATCAAGCACTTGGACGTGGTGACCCTGCTGAGACGTATCCAACCTCCCCTGGGCTTTGGGAAGTTCTGCCCTCACCGTGTAGCTTGTAAGGTAGGAGTCAAGGAGATGGGAGGGTGTGGGCAGAGAGCACCTTCCCAGGCTGCATCCTCCCCTGGGAGGATGAGGAGGAGAGTTCAGCTGGCTTTCCACTGTCTTCATTCATGCTCATACTCCGACTTCTGGTATTTACTGGAGAGGATCTGTCAGGGAAATGAGCAATACTGCAACCTGGGTGGAATTGATGCATTTCAGGGTTCTGGGATTCAGGACCTGTCTGAACTCATCTCCATCCCCAGGGAATGGCACTGAGGTGCAGCTCCCCCACAACCCTCATTGCAGAGAGTTTTCCAAGCTGTGCTGGGGTGCTCCCCATCTGTGCATCCTCATCTCCACCGGGGAAGTTGAAACCTCCAGTCTTGGGCGCACAGCTCCTGGCGTATCTCTGCACAAAGCCAGGGGCTGTGAGAGGCTCACAGGAAGGGCAGCTTGTACCTCTGTGGGGAGCTTACAGCCTGCTCTGCCACCCAGCTCACAGCTGCTGGTTGTTTTGCAGCGCCTGGTGTGCATGAACATGCCCCTGAACAGCGATGGCACTGTCACCTTCAATGCAACACTGTTTGCGCTGGTGAGGACAGCCCTCAAGATCAAGACAGAAGGTATGAAGGCTGATGTCTGCTTCCCCAGCATGGGGAACCGTCTCCCTGTGCTGCAGAGTGCACGTTGTGCACCCTTTCCTGCCCTGTCTGAGGACCTCAGGGCGCCTTGCTGGTAGGGCAAGACCCTCTGTTCCAACCCTCAGCTTTATGTCAGTGTTGGTCCAGAGACCATGGGCACATGCAGGGGGATGAGGCCAAGCCTGGAGGTTGTTTATGTTGCAACCATGATGAGCAAACCAATGCCACCCCAGCTGTGTAACTTCACTGTGCAGATCAGGAGCACTTCTGACCCAGTTCCAATTCCTGCCTCAGAGCTCAGCTGCTAGACTCCTTCCCACATGCTGAGTGTGGTCTGATCCCCTGCACCTGCCATAGCACTGGTTGTTCCAGTTCTACATCTCCCCAGGTGTGCATAGACCTCAGACTGGAGTGGAAAAGGATGGCTCCTCTTTGAATTTAGCTGTGCTGGAGAGGAGTTGCTTTCTTCCTTGCCAGCAGCATGGTTTGCAAAGCTCTGCTTTGGTAAGAAACCACACCAACTTGTTTCCATGCCTGTGGGTTAGGCAGCAGCATATGAGAAGCCAGCACAGCAGGAGGTGGAGCTGGGCTGTGGGGCCAGCTGAGGCCAGCATCTCCCAGTAGCAGGGCACGGAGCCTTCCCTTCAGCTGGGGTGGAGAACACTGCATCCAGCACGATGCAGGGAGCATTGGGAGGATCACAGGAGATCTGAGAGCATGGATGAGCACAGACTTTTGGTAAAATCAAAGCCTAATTCCTACAATCTGCTGGGTGGGGAGACTGACGAGGAGCTGTCACACCCTGCAGGAGTCTGGCCAGGTTTCCACACACTTTGTCTTTGTTCATGTCCATGTTCCCCTGAGAATGAACACCTTTGTCCTCCCTTTTCCCACAGGTAATTTTGAACAGGCCAATGAGGAGCTCAGAACCATTATCAAAAAAATCTGGAAGCGAACCAGTATGAAGCTTTTGGACCAGGTCATCCCACCTATTGGAGGTACGTCACCCACTGGTATTTCCCCAAGGGCCGACCTCCCCCTGCCCGGGGGGCTCAGCTCTGCAGCAATTCAGGGCAGCATGGTGGGCAAAGTCATCAGGTTGGTTTCCTCCCCTCCAGATGATGAGGTGACAGTGGGCAAATTCTATGCTACTTTCCTCATCCAAGAGCATTTCAGGAAGTTCATGAAGCGCCAGGAGGAGTACTATGGGTACCGTCCCAAGAAGAACCCTGTAGAGATCCAGGTTGGTAGCGTGGTTGGTGGAGGTGATGCTATGTGAGGACAGGAGGCATGATGGGGCTTCCTGCAGACAGGGGAAGGGGGCTCTCCCAACTCTAGAAAGCCCTTGGTGACTGGGAGAGACAGGGCTGAAATGGACATGGGGACCTCTGTCCCTTAGGTTCTGGCAATGAGGTGGCCCCAAGTGAATCAGTGCTGAGTTGGTCAGCAAGCACAGAACCAACCAGCCTCAGGGTCCCTGGGAGGGGCAGCTGGCAGGGCAGCATGGTTCACTGTGGCCTGGAGACCAAACTCCAGCACATTTCCTTCTCTAAAACCCAAAGTGAGAGGGGTTGTAGTGCCAGCCCACATCCGGCCATGCTTTCCTGTCCATCAGGCTGGGCTGAGGAGCATTGAAGAAGAAGCCGCTCCTGAAATTCATCGAGCCATCTCTGGGGACCTGACTGCTGAGGAAGAGCTGGAGAGGGCAATGGTGGAAGCTGCCATGGAGGAGGGGATCTACAGGGTGAGCACAGCCAGGTGGGAGCAGTCCTACCCACTGCCATGCGCTGCGGCTCAGCATGGGTACAGCAGATAGAGAACAGTCCTCAGAGGTGAGCCTGACCGTAAGCAAGAAGTACGTAACAGTGCTCTTCCCTGAGGATCGGGACATCCTGGGCAGTCTGGGCTCTGGTCTCGCAGTGAAGGATTTCTGCTGTGTGCAAAAGTGCTGGCAGCCCAGAGGTTTGTCACACCCCGGTGCTGCGGCGTTATTTATTACATCCCCTCTCAGTTTCCCCACCTGGGCAGTGCAGCCTAGAACACCACAAGCACGAGGCTGCCATTCCACGGGCACCCAAACACATTTCCTCCACGGGAACGGCCCCAGAGCTCTGCATCTCCTGATGCCCTCCTGTTGCTTGCAGAGGACGGGCGGTTTGTTCGGCCAGGTGGACAGCTTCCTGGAGCCAAGCAGCCCCCTGCAGCCCCACATGGCCAGCCAGAGGCCCCTGCAGTTTACAGAGGTGGGCAGCGAAGACCTCGACTCCCCCGTCTTCCTCGACGACTTCCCCCAGGAAGGCAACACCAACGTCAACAACGCCAACTGGCTGCAGGGGTAAGGGCTGGTGAGCGCCCTGCGGGCTGGGGGGGGAGCCGGGCTGGGTGCCAGTGCAGAAATGACCCTGCAGACGCAGAAGCTTTGTGGAGAAATTTGGCCGTTGGATGGGAGGCATCGCCAGAGATGTCCCCAGGGTGGGATATGCAGGGGGGAGCGCGCTCTGGATGTGGGCTGTCTTACCTAATTGCAACGTGCTGAGGCAGCAGCAGTTGTGGTCCTCGGAGAGAGCCATGAGAACCAGGAATATGTCAGTGTTTCTTTCTTCTCCCTGAGCATCAGGTCATCCTGCGTGGCCTGTTTCCTGCCTCAGTTTCCTCCTCTATAAGAGGACCCTAATTATTAACGTATAGGGTAAACGTGTGGCTCCGTGCACTGTGCGCCCTGAACACCTTTCTCATCATTCCTTCATCTTAGGGCCATTAGGATCAAGGTAGACACAGGAAATGCAGGGATGACCTTTTCCCTTCCCCACCAATCTCTGAGTGCCAAGGGCCACCAGTGCCTAAAGCGAGTAGAAGGGTTACCGGTGTAAGAGAACATCCTTATCCTGATTCTTGGGGTCTGCACATTATTCACCAATCCCAGAGTGGAGAAGATGGGGAGGGCTGCATCCTGGGTTCAGGGTGGTGCTCCCTGCTCCGCTGACCCCTCTGCCTGTCCCTACCAGGTTGGAGTACGAGGATGAGGTGCTGAGGAGAGCAGTGCTGGCAGCACCCAGGCCTCCAGCGCGGGGTGAGTGTCAGCATCATTCCAATTCTGGGGCATGTCAGCCTGCCTGGGGTGGTGGAAGGGGCTGGTGACAGAATGCAGGAGGAGGAGCTGCAGCCCCTAGCAGCTTGGAGGGCCAACTGAGACCCCTGAGCTCAGTGGAACCTGTCTGGAGAGCTCCAAGACCTGCATGGTGGTGGAGCATGGAGCTGTGCCTTGGGCTGAGGCAGGACCAGGAGCCCCATGCAGCGAGGCCACAAGGCCATGTTCATTTCCAGGAGTAGAGGATCATGGACTGTTCCTCCTTCCTGACTCGGATTGAGGAGCAAATGTGGGGCAGAGGCGGGAGCTGGGATTTCCATTCGTCCCATCCCCTAGATGCAGTCTCCTCGGTCTTGATCCCCTCTGGCTGTGATGGCCTTGCTCGTGTGCCCATCTCAATTCCCACCTTTCCCTCTCCTAGAGACTGACCTCCCCATCCCTTTGGAAAGGCTGCGGCGGAGACGAGGAGCTGCCTCTGAGCATCACCCAGCATCGGGGCAGTGCCTCCATCCCCAGCAGGTAAAGGGGACAGCATGAGTCCCAGGGAAGCAAAGTGGGGTCATAGGCTAAACATCCTGGGAAGGAGCATCTCCCTGCATGGGCCCAGCTTTGCTGGAGCCTCCTTTCCTCATCAGCTCGGGGAAGGAGCCCCCACCTTGGTGCTGATCCATGCTGGGGAAGCTCAGAGCAGCATCCCTCATGCTTCTGGAGACAGGTCAGAAAAAATAGGGTCTCAGAGTTGATCCCACACTCCTCTGCTGCCCTTGGCTGTCTGTGCCCTGTCACCTGGGTGCTTGGCTCTTGCCTCAGTGCCCAGGTAGGGAGGGAAGGGTTGGTTCCCTGCTGGTCCTATTGCTGGTGTTGCACTGAACCCAGGAAATTCAGAAGGATGGGAATCCTTGTGCAGCCTGGGTTGCAGCTGAAAAAATTAACACAGAGGTATTCCATGATTATCACCATACTTGAGCTGCAGATCCTTGCTCCTTTCATCCAGGGCAGCACAGTGACAGCAGCAGCATCCAGCTCAGAACACCGGTGGCATGAAAGCACTGACACAAACACATCTTCCACCCCTGCCATCACCTTCCTCATTCAAGAGGTAATGTGCAGACTGGCAGAGGGAAAAGGGGGTGGTGAGATTCCATGGTGGAAAATTGAGGGGAAGAGCTTAGCTGGGGAGGTGGGCAGCAGGGCGAAGGCAGTGAGTGCGAGCCCTTCTGCTACAGACTTTTTCCACACAGGGCTGTTGATCCTTTCCTCTGTTGCAGGCTCTGATCTCCGGAGGCCTCGCAGCTCTGGCCCGTGATCCATCCTTCGTTGCAGTGACCAGGGATGAGATGGCAGCCAGCAGTCAGCTGGAGGTGGATGAAGTGGAGAAAGCAGCAGTGGAGCTGCTAAAGGGAAGAGAAGCACTGTGGGACACAGAAAGCAGCTCTGCCCCCCGGGACACCTTGGCTGCATCAGAAGTCAGCGCCCCAGGGCTCAGTGTGGCCACATCCCATCAGACCAGCTCTGCTGCTCGCCTGTGAGCTGCCTGCCATGCAGCCCCATGGGTACAACCCCATTAGGGGGGATAACAGAGCAGTGCTGCACCTCTCCCCATCTTTGCCTGTGGGGCTGCTGGGCTCTGTCTGGCCACAGGAGGCTTTTTGGACTGGTGCTGCAGGATGCTGGTGACAGGACAGGGTGATGCTGTGCCAGAATGGTCTTTGCAGGAGCTGCACAGATCATTAAAGTGTCCCTGCTGTGTGACTCCGTGGGTTCCCCCGTCCCCTCCTTCCTCTGCTCTCCTGGCTGCAGGCTGCTGCCTGCCTGAGCTGGCAGAGACTCAGACTGAAGAAGAAGAAGAGCTGGCAGTGATTAAAAATGTGGTTAGTGGGCATGGTGAGGATGGGCCAGCGGTTGGACTTGGTGATCTTAATGCACTTTTCCGACCTTAACGATTCTGTGATTCATGTGGCAGTCCCAGTCCTGGTCCTGAGATCTTTCCCCACTCCCATGTGCTCCTGCCTCAGTCAGTCACTTTAAAGATGGCTACACACTGCATCTCAGCAGCTGCACCCTGGGTCATGGCCCTGCCAGACCCCGTTCCTCCTGCTTGCAGCCCAGCCTGACCTGTGGGAGGAGATGGGCACCACTGGAGGAGCTTGGAGCAGATCTGCCTGAGGCTGGGAACTTTGCCACTCGGGACAGAGGGGTCATTGCTCTGCAGGAAGGGGTCTGCCTGAGGGTTCAGGTTTACGGACTTCAGTGCCCCAGAAGGAACGTGTTTGCCAAGCACTGGGGCAGCCCTGTCCCCCTGGGTCAGCTTTTGGCAGGGTTCTTGCTTCAGAGGGCCTCCAGCGCATCCAAACCGAACACTGCTGGGTTTTTCCTTGCCTAGTATCTATCAAAATACAGCAAACTGATAGGTCCCAGGAGAGAGATTGAATCAACGGGGCATGCCTGCCCTCCAGCAGGGCGTTTTGTTAACGGAATAAAAGGGAGATGGCTGTTGCTGAACTCCATCTGCAGCAAGAGCTTTGCTTGCAGATGGGATGCAGGCAGCAGAGAACCCATAGGGACAGCCCTGCACCCCACGGCGCTGCCCCCGGGCAGGACACCCCCTGACACCCCTTGAGTGCTGTGAGGCTGCGGAGCTGTCTGGCTTTTGCTCTGCTCGGCGGATACTGAGGATGTGCTGCTTTTCCTACAAGGTGGACAGGGGTGGTTTATGGGTGAGCTGCAGAACTCCGCGCGTCCCTTTTAGAGGCTGGGGACTTCGTGCAGCCCGGGAAAACCGGACATCCCAGTACAGCCCCGCACAGCTCCGTACCGCCCTACACACACCTAGAAAGCCCCGCTACAGCCCCGCACGACTCCGCACAGCCCGGCGCACCCCGGAGCGGAGCCGCTGACCCGGCAGAGGGCAGCAGGGACCGACGGCTGTCCGTGCGCGCGTGCTCACGCGAGCGTCCGTCCGCGCGGAGCCGCGCACCCCGCAACACCTCCGCGCCCGGCGGCCTCGTGGCCGCGCTGCCGGTGGGCGGATCCTATCTGGCCCCGCCCCGCCCCTCCCGGCCCGGCCCCGCTCTCTGCGGCCGAGGCGCGGCGGAGCCCCCGCTGCGGGAGCGACCCCGGCGGCAGCGCCCGGCCCGCCCCGCGGCACCTGGGGCCGCCCCGCCGCCCCCTCCTCCTTCTCCTCCTCCTCCTGCACCTCCCCGCTCCCTCCTCCCTCCCTCTTCCTCCTCTTCCCCCTCCCGCAGACGCGGATGCTCTCGGGCAGCGGTGGCCGCGGTGCGGGGCGGTGGGGGCATGGCGGCCCCGGACAGCTGCGTGAAGGTGGCGGTGAGGTGAGCGCGGAGCTGCCGGGTTCGCGGTCCCGGGGCGGGGGGGAGGAAGGAGCTCTGTGCAGCCCGGGAGCTCAGTGCCCGTCCCCTCTGCGCCGGCGCCCCCGAGCCGTGCCCGCTGTCCCCCGTCCCGCTCCGTGCTGCCCTGGGGCTGCTCCGACACCGCAAGACCTCTGAAGCTCGCAGTGCGGGGGGACCCCTGGGCCGTCTGACCGCACGGCACGAAGGGCTTAGACCCCCTCCCCTGGGTGGTGTCAAAGGGGCATTGAGGAGGGGGTGCCTGCAATGTGTGCGTGTGGAGGGGGGGGATGTCTCTGCAGCATCTCCGTGTCCTTTGTACTGCCTCTGAGCTGGGAACAATGCGCCTTACGGCTCCTGCACCTAAATAAAGGAGCTGCCGGCAGCACCTAATTCGTGGGCTGCAGGGGGGGGTCGGGGCCGAGGCCCTGAGCTGCACTGCGGGCGGTGGGCACATCCCAAACCTCCTGCACGGCGATGGGTGGAAGAGGGATGAAAGTAGGGGGCTCTTTGTTAGCGCTGGACCGGGCTGGGTGTATTCTGAGTGCTGCCGCTGGGGTCCTGCAGTTCGGTGCTGTTCTCTTTGCTTCTCTCTATTGGGAAAGGAGGAAGGCATCCCCGCATCCCCCGCCAAAGGGCTCATCAGCCCCATCAAGTGAGGAAGGCAGGGACAGACCCGGAGCTGCCATCTGCGTGGTGGGAACTGGATGTGTGTGTTCCTCCCACTCACCCTATGGTTGCCCTGGCTCAGCCCGTGCCTTCCAGGCCAGCCCTGGGAGCACTGAGTCCTGTGCAGGATGAGGGGATGATTGGGCCCTTCCCCATCCAGCTGCTCCTGTGTTGCTTTCCATTATGGAGCTGTGGGATGGGGCAGAGGGTGCTGTGTTACTGCTATGGGTGTGGATCCTGTGTGTGGCACTATGGGTGCTGATGGGATGCGGTGGGACTGCATTAATCCTTGATGGAGGAAACACGGAGGTGCTGCCTTGGGCAGAGCAAGAGCACAAAAGATGCTTTGGGTGCAGTGTCAGTGATGAAGGGGAAATGGTGGGTGTGTGGCTGTGTGTACCACGTGTCTGTGCACCCAAACACCTCCCTGCACCGCTGCCCTGCAAGTAGCATTGGGGTTTTCTGCACCTCTCTGTTTAAGGGGCTGAGAATTGAGCCAGGCTGCAGTCTCACAGGCTGGGAAGCAGCGGGGAGGCGACAGCATCCTTGTCATGTGGGTGTTCCTATGGTGCCTGTGTGGAGGCAGGACGGGGTGTCCATGCAGGACACTGACCCGGGGTCTGAGTGATGCCGGCGGCTGCGGGTGGAGATTTCCTGCTGGTCAGACTCTTCCCATCCTCCATCCTGCGCTTTTCTTAGGATGGAGCCTCGTAACAAAGGCCCGGGCTGTGTTCCTTTCTGAAGCAGTGCTGTCAGGGGTGGTGGCTGTGGGGCTGCTTTGGTTGCTCTGTTTCCACCTCATCCCCTTGTGCCATGAGGCCAGAGCTGTCCTGTGATGAGGGGATCACGAGCAGGAGGTGTTGGAAATGTAATCTTCCCCGTGTGGTATTTTGGTGGGGATGGGGTGTCCATGGTGAGAGCTGGGTAGGAAAGGAAGGCTCCATCCCTCTCCCACCCCCTCCTTGGTGAAGTGATCCCCGCTTGGTGCAGCGCTGGATGTCATAGCAGAGGTGAAGACAAAGGAGAGCTGAGAGTGACGATGCTGAGAGACAAAGCAGGGAGCAAGCAGGTCGGGGGCTGGCGAGAAACAGCCTCTCGCCCCACTGCTTTTGTGTCAAAGCAGCCCCGGGGGGCTGGCGCTGGGTCCTCTCCCAGCACAGCGCGGATTCTCTTTGTGTGGCACCTTGCCGGGGAGCAGCAGGGCTGCAAAGCCCTCAGACCCCCACCCACCGTGCGATCCGTGCAGTCCCAGCTCCTGCATGGGGCAGCAAGGAGGAGGATTGCTACCTCAGGGTGTGGCAGAACAGGGGCAAAATCTCCCTTTTGTTCCTTTATAATAACATGAAGGTGCACTGTGATGTTTATTCAGTCTCGGTGTGGCTTCTGTTGGTGAGAGCGAGGTGAGCTCACCAGTGTGGGGGAAACGGATGCTGGATACTGGGATTTTGGGGAAGGTGCTGTGTGCTGCTGGGGTTAAATGGGTGATGTGTGTGGTCCCGCTGCTGTCAGGAGGTGCTGCAGCCACCAGGCAGGACCCAATTCTGGTGTCCTTGGGGCTGGGTGGTGGAGCTGCCCCATCCCTGTTGATCCCCGGTTCCCGCAGCTGTCCTGCCCTGGCACAATGAGGCAGGGGAGATGCTGTGGTGTTTCTTGCTGTCAACCTCAGTGCACAGCTTAAATCTTCTCCGTTCACCTCCAAGATCCCCAGCTGGCGCTGGGGTCCCGCAGAGCTGGATGTGGGGGGGTTATTTAGGGCACAGGGGGGTGTGTTCATGCTTCCTGTGTGCCAGCAGTGAAATGGCTGGTGGCTGCCGCAGCGCTGCCGTCAGCAGGGAGGACGCAGGCCCAGTGGCTGCTGCTGGCCTCGCGGCAAGCTTGTGGCTGCAGGCAGGGCTGCCTTCCCTTTGCCATCAGCGTGAAGCTGACGTGTTGCTTTTGGGCACCTCGGGGCTGCCTGGCTCGGGAGGGGCTGAGCCAGGAGCGCTGTGCCACATTCGGGCGCCGGGCAGGGAGCCCAGGGCTCCTCGTGCTCTGGGTGCTCGCTTGGAGTCCTGGGGAGGCACAACGTCTGCTTCCTTTGGCAGGTGACCTTCACAGCGACTGCTGCAGCTCGCTCTGCAGCTGCTGCTCCACCCTGGAGCACAGTGGTTACCTGGGGCTGGGGGTCCCCTCTGCTGGGCACATGGGCTCACAGGCAGCTCCGGCAGCTGCAGAGCCGTGTTCTGGGGCTGGTGGCCAGATAGGGCCCTGCTCTCCAGGGTGTGTGGCTTTGCTGCGTCAGGATGGTGTGTATAAACCTGGAGTGTTCAGCCTTGTGGTGGAGGGGGGGGGGCTGAGGAGTGGGGGTGGCTGCAGAAAGACTCCTCGAGACCCCAGATGCAGCATTGGCTGGGGGGAGTGCAGCACACGAGTGTGCCCAGCCAGCAGCGACTCAGGAAGCAGAGCTTGTGAAATTGGGGAAGGAAGTTGAGTCGGGTTTCAAGTTTATTTAAACCCTGCAACCTCCAGAGCTCTGCCGCTCTCATAAACACTCCTGCTGAGATGCTCCGTGCCCCTGCACGGCAGCATGGGTCCTGGCTGCCTCCTGCCCTGGGAACTGATCCGGTCTCCTTGGGAGCAGTGATGGGATGTTCCTCTCAGGGACAGATTCCTGCAGCCATTGCAGCGTGCCCTGGAGGGCCTCAGCTCAGTGGGAACGGGGTTGTAAACCCCGCATCCTGCTGCTGCCTGGCTGGAGCTCCTCTGCTTGCTGGGTTGGTTTCTGCAAACATGAAGCCTCTGGGACCAGCTGTGTTTCAGGATGATTTTGGATGCGGGTGGGGAGGTGTCATCAGCTGTGGGTGCTGCCTGAGGGTGATGGCACAGGGAGGGGGATGGAACCCAGCGCTCACTGTCATCGTGGTGCTGCGTCATTCCTGGGAGACCATCTATGGAAAGTGTCCCTGGGGTTGGATGTTCTTTCAGTTTCCCTTCCAACCCAAGCTATACTGTGATGAAATGACTCCCTGGGGCGACCCATAGGACGCAGTCCTCTTGTAATTCTGTGACATCTCCAAGTCTGGGTGGTGTTGGATCAGTTTTGTTCAGCTCTCGTGGGGCCATATAGGCTGAGCTTATGAGGTGGACGTTTGGGCAGAGAGGGAGGTGAGATAAAGCTGGGAATGTGCCCGGCTCCCAGGGTTACAGTGCCATGGGGTTTCCTTTCTGGAGGCACTGGGGTGCTCCCTAGTGAACAGCACTGACTCACGGCTGCACCCCAAGGCCTGTAAGGGAAGCAGCATCACAGGCACGGGGACCCCAAACCACCTTCCCCATCCTTCGCTCCCCCCGGATCAGCCCAGGGCTCAGTCCTGGGGGAAATGCAGAGCCCAGGTGTGTGGGCGAGAGGCTTTTTTCTGCGCCTGGCTTCAATCAGGCGCACGCTTGCTGGCTTTTACAGCGGAAATGTTAGAAAGGAGATGGAAACATTGCTGGTGCAGGGGGGGAGCGCAGCTCTGCTCTGCGGTTCAGTGCAGAGACGGCGCTGCCTGCAGCATTGCCCCGGGCAGCGTGGCTGTAAGAAGCTTGTAGTGCCTGCACCCAGTGCCCGTCAGTGGGGACTTAAATCCTTAATGCCCCGAAGTACCAGGAACGCGGGGCTCCCTAAGCCAGAGGGCAGGACGGGCTGCGGCATTCCTGCACCAGGAGCGAAGCTGGGGGCGGGCAGGAGCAAATTGCAGGAGACAGAGCTCCGACCAAGAGCAAATCACAGGAGCCAAAGCTCGAAACCAAGCTGTCGGAAGCACAGCCCCTGGTCTCACAGGGGGAAGGCGATACTCCCACCAAGCCCGTGCTAATTGAGGAGCCAGCCTTGTCTTTTGTGCCCTTCCCACTGCCCTGAGTCCCAGGGGTCTGTTTCCTTCCCATTGCTGTCAAAATAGTCCCTGCTGTGGGGTTAAACAGCCGGCAGGTTTGGGGTGTGCTGGATTGCACGGGAACTGCTGCCAGGCTCTGCTGGCTGCATCCCTTTGTGAGTGACTGTCCGGAGTCTGTTTGCAGACATCCTTGTGGCATCACCCACCCCAGGTCCATCATGACGTTGATGGCATTGCCAGCTGCTGCTCATCGGCTTATGGGAGCTGAGGAGGAGTGCAGGGACTTTGCAAACTCAGCCCGCTCCCGGTGCCCTCCAGGTGATGCTCTGGGTAAAGCTGAGTTCCATGCTTCCCCCAGGCCCTGCCAGCCCTTTCCTGTGGCCTTGGGTTGGGGTTCCCCAGTGATGGGTTCCTGTGTGTCCCCTGTTCCATTGCGGGTCCTGGTGCCGAGCAGATGGTGCAGCTTGGGGCCAGTGTGCTCCTGCCAGAGCTAATAAGCAGCACACAGTGGCTGCCAGGACCTGATTGAAAGGTTTCCCTAAGCCTGAGGATTAGGGGGCCCAGGGTCCTCAGGGGCTCACAGCAGTGGGGATTGCCCCATAAAGCTGGGCACAGCCAGCACCCCATGTTTGTGGCAAGCAGAGGGCCTATGTTGGGGTCACTTAGGGGATGGATAGAGTGTGGTGGCAGGTCCCTCTGCTGAGCCATGTCCAGTAGGTCTCCGTACACCCCTTGGCTCTGCAGAGGTTCTTCTCATTTCCCCAGCAGGGGCGTGGGGACCTGGCAGCCAGCCCTGCTGTGTCCTTGGTGCCAGCCACACGCTGGTGTGGAGGGAGGCTGAGCCCTTCCCCGTGCTGTGCTCGCTCCTGCTAGGAAATGCCTTGCTATATCTCTTAATCTGAGTGTTTTCTGACCAGACCTGGCAATCCCAGGGGAGCCTTATTCAATTTTCTCTGATTGCTGAGCTGCTTCCCTGCTGTGGTAATTAAATGCTTAACTTTGTCTTGATTTGGGTCCAGAGCAACCTGTGTGCCAACAGCCGCCTCTGGGCAGCAAGGATTCTCCCAGGACTCAGTGGGGAGTGGGGCTGGGCTTTGTCCTCCTTAGGACTCTATGGGACCAGGCCATACTGAGCTGATGCTTTGGGAGCTGCTGTCTGTTGGCAAAGATGGGCAGCAAGGTGCTGTGTGTGCTGGTGTGGAGATACGGGAAAGCCTGGAGTTCTCTGCTCTGATCCTGTTGCTGGTGGTGCGGAGTTCAGTGGAGAAGTGGGGTGTGGGAGTGTGCTGCCGTACCCTGCAGAAGGGAGCTCTGGAGCCTTCTGGGTTTGCTGTAGCCATGAAACAGGGAGAGCAGAAGCTCGGGCGGCAGGGGGCATGAGGACATGATTGCAGCCATCCCCTTCACTTGAATGGAACCTTCCTGTGTGCTGGAGGCTGTGTGGGGTTTCCCAGCGGGTGCAGCCCCTTTTCCTGGCCAAGCAGTGGGTGAAGCCCTGCCATGAGGATATGGGCTGTACCCCTTCTAAAGCCCATTCTGCTGTCTGCAAGGCCAAGAGATGCTGGGTTCTTCCTATGAACTCTGCTTCTTCCCCCAGGCAAGAGGGGCCCTGTGGGATCTGCTTCCCGTGGTGCCCATTGGGCACTTGGCTCCCAGCCTGGCCCCAACAGCTCTGCCTTTGTGTGTGCCCCACACTCCCTGCCCCTGAGGGTGCAGCCCCACTCCGCCGCTTCCTCCCAGATGCTCGGTCGCCCTGGCAGCCGAACCATGGAGACGAGTGCTTTCACAGCCTGCCAGCATGGCAGGAAAGGGGGGGGAGAGAGAGAGAGAGATGCTGAGCCTCTGCCGAGCCTTTGTGTCCCCTGCTCGGCTCTGGGCCCTGCTTGGCACAGAGGCTGCTGCTGCTGCGGGGTTTGCGCGCCGATGCCAAGCAGGCAGGATCTGCCTGGCCGTCTGTCACCCCCTCGGTCCTTTGCCACCAGCCCGAGTGCAGGGAGGGCCGGCAAGACGTGTGAGGGGTGGTTGGAGTGCCTTGCTTTGGCCCAGAGAAGAGGAGGCTGATGTGATGTGACCCGCCTGGTCAGGTCCTGCATTGCCCAGTATGTGGCATGGCGATGCTCCTCCTGGGGTAGGAGGGGATAGAATGGTAGAACCATTTGAATTGGAAGGGACCTTTGAAGGCCATCCGCTCCCACTCCTTGCAATGAATAGGGGCGCTCACAGCTCCATCAGCTGCTCAGAGCCCCGTTCCCCTCACCTGGAGTGCCTGCAGGGGTGGGGCAGGGATGGGAATGGATGAGATCCCCCCCAGTGACAGAGAGCTGAGACTGTCTGATGGCTGTGAGCAGGAAGAACAGCATCGCTGACCCAGAGATTTCTTCTGTGCTGGCTCTTGGTGGTGGCCATGTGGATCTCCCCGTGCTGGCTGGTAGGGCTGCTGGTGAGGGTCGCTGCTTCCCCAGAGCATCCCATGCAGGGTTGTGTCTGCTGGAAGCTGCTGCTGCTTCCTGGGCTCATCTCTGCCCCCGGCTCCTTCTGCTGCTCTCATGGTGTGAGGAGGGGCTGATATTTGCACCGTCTGCAGCAGCTTCCAGCCTGTAGACAAGTGGCTCTGAGTTGCGCCGGTGGAGGTTCAGGTTGGATGTTAGAAACGATTTCTTCTTGGAAAGAGTGGTCAGCATTGGCACAGCTGCCCAGGGAGGCGATGGAGTCCCTGTCCCTGGAGGCGTTCAGAGCTGTGGAGATGAGGCACTGAGGGATGTGGCTGTGGGCACGGTGGGGTGGGTTGGGGTTGGACTCAGTGTTCTCAGAGGTCTCCTCCAGCCTGAATAATTCTACGGTTCTATGAAATGACATTTGAGACAAGTGCTGGGGCTCAGACCAGCCTGTGGGGCACCCGTGTCCCCAAGAGTGGCTGGGGACATGGGGTGGTACAAGGGGATGCTGGCACCTGGGTCTCCATTCATACCCTTGCAGGTCCCACAGTTGTGGTCCCCAGAAGTCCTATGGAAAGTCCATATGCAGTCACACAGTGCTGCTGCACAGCCTCTCTCCCAAACCCACATGCACGTATTAAACCACTTTCTGGGGAGGGAAGGAAAAAAAGCCTTTTGCTGAAAACTCTGCTCTCGTTTTTCTTGAGAGGAAAAATTTTCCAGAAATACAGTGGTTGCAGTTTGTTGTTCTGTCTGATCCCCAGAAATGCTGTGTGCGTCTGGGGAGGGGCAGCACTTCACTTTAGTCAGAAAGTAATTAAAACTGGGCTTCATTTTCCTGCGGGAGGGTGGGACCCTGGGAAGGCGACAGGAGCGAGTTGGGCTGAGCACATCAGAAGCTGCCTTCTGTTGTGGCTGCGGTGCTAAATACACCCTGAGACACGGATAGCTGTTCCCACACGTCTGCTGTGCGGCTTCCCGGGGGGGTCGTGGGCCGGTGGTCCCCCGGCTCTCGCTGCCCTCAGCCTGGTGAGACATGGGAGCCCCGACCTGCAGAGCCTCCGCTGCGGTCGCTGCCAGCCGTGCGGCTTTGGAGGAATTAATAGCTGTTTTTATGAAGCATCCAGGGAGGGGAGATGTGCAGTCATTAAGCTCTAATGAGAGCTGTTTGCCAGGGCGTTTGGCTTTGCGTTCCCTTTCTCCGCAGCTCCCTGGGGCGCCCAGCTGCTTCCCGCAGCCAACGCATCCCCAAAACCTGGAGCTGCGCGTCCCCGACGTGCGCCGCTGTCTGACGTGCAGCAGATCTGCGCCTGCGCGGCTCCGTCGGCGCCGTCGGTGCTCCAAAGCCCTCGGGGTGGGGAGCGCGGTGTTGTTACGGCGCCGCTGGAGCCCAGCGCAGCCTCTGCTGTCCCGGCTCCGTCTGCAGGGCCCACAGCCTGGGACAGCCATCGGGCTGGGCGGTGCTTTGGTTCAGACGGTTGTTTTGGTGCTGGGGCTGTCTGGTTGCGTTTTGCGTTTCAGGTTTTCAATGCAGTTTGATCTCGCTGTCTCCTGTGCGGGTGCAGCCATGCTGTGTCTGACTGCGTCTCTTCTGCCTACCGTGCCCTGGCAGTCCAGGTTGCTTCCATGCATCGTTCCTATGTGCAGCCCAGAGCTCGCTGCCTGGCTGGGGACGCTGCAGCAAATGAGCTGCTGTAGGTGTGGGTTGGTGCAGGGGAAGCTTTTAGTGCAGTCTGTGGGTTGTTACCCCATCCTGCTTTGTGTGCTGTTTGCTTCACGCTGTGAGTGGTGGCACTGCTGGGCCTCAGCCTGGAGCAGCCGCCGTCCCAACGCAGAGCATGTCCCCAGAGCCAGGCAGTGGGGTGATCTCTGAGGCCACCCTCAGTGTGTTCCTCCCCCTGCAGGATCCGTCCCCAGCTGTCCAAAGAGAAAATCGAGGGATGTCACATCTGCACCTCTGTGACGCCCGGTGAGCCCCAAGTGCTGCTGGGGAAGGACAAAGCCTTCACCTATGACTTTGTCTTTGACCTGGACACGTGGCAGGAGCAGATCTACACAACGTGCGTGGGCAAGCTCATTGAAGGCTGCTTCGAGGGCTACAATGCCACCGTGCTGGCGTATGGCCAGGTACCCGCTTTGCTCTGCCCTGGGCTTTGGGCTCTCCCAGGGCGGCAGCGCAGAAGTTAGGAGCAGGCAGGGACTTAAAGCTGCAGGGTGTGGAGGGGATGGAGCCGTCTCAGGGTCGGGTGGGAGTTGCAGCAGGGAGAGAAGGGATGGCGGGGCTGGGGTGCGTGATGGGTGCGGGGGGCTCAGCAGAGGAGCTCGGGGTGGTACGGGCAGCTGTGGCTGCAGCGCAGGACCCAGCGCCACCTTTGCAGACTGGTGCGGGAAAGACATACACCATGGGCACTGGCTTCGACATGAGCATCTCTGAGGATGAGCAGGGCATCATCCCGCGGGCCATCGGCCACCTCTTCAGCGGCATTGAGGAGCGCAAGCGGGCGGCACAGAGTCAGGGGGTGGCAGTGCCTGAGTTCAAAGTCAGCGCCCAATTCCTGGAGGTGAGTGACGAGGAGTCGGGGGTGATGGCATGGCCTGCGTCCTCTGCACAGCCCTTCTCCCAGCAAGGGTGGCAGGAAGGCGTCCTCTGGCACCTTTTGAAGTGCCAGGCTCTAGCAGACTCCTCTTCTCTGTTACTCACATGCGTTTTTGCCCCATTCAGCTCTACAATGAAGAGATCCTGGACCTGTTTGACAGCACCCGTGACCCAGATGCACGTCACCGCAAATCCAACATCAAAATCCACGAGGATGCCAGCGGGAGCATCTACACCACGGGGGTCACATCGCGGCTCATCAGCTCCCAGGACGAGGTGGGTGCGGCATCAGTGAGTGCAGAAGAGGGATGGAAGGCAGGGATGTGCTTTGTGCTTGAAGGTTTTCTTCCTCTGCTGTGTGTTGTTGCAGCTCATCCAGTGCCTGAAGCAGGGAGCTCTTTCCCGCACCACTGCCAGCACCCAGATGAATGTGCAGAGCTCCCGGTCCCACGCCATCTTCACCATTCATCTGTGCCAGATGAGAGTGTGTGCCCGCCCGGAGCTGGTGAGACTGAGAGGCCCTGCCCCTCCGCTCTTGCTTCCGAGATGGGCTCTTCCTGGCTCTGTGTGGGTTCCCTGGGAAGGGGAGAGGGTCTGAAGTCTCCCAGACAGGCAGGGTTTTGTCTTGTTTCTCTGTGGTTGTAGGGAATATTAGCATTTATTGGGAGCTAAGATATTCGCCAAAGCAGCCCTGTCCCAGGGATGGGGTGACCTGCAGCAAGTTGCTGTTGGGCTCCTCTCACCTGATCGTCAGGGGGCTGCAAGCCGAGGGTAAATGCTTGTAGGGCTGAGGGGGCTCCTGCAGGGTCTCTGGTAGCGAGCCCTCTGTGTGCCTGGCTGCAGGTGAACGGGGAGGTGACCGGCCTGCCGGATGGAGCCCAGCCCACCACTGAGTACGAGACCCTCACAGCCAAGTTTCACTTTGTGGACCTGGCTGGCTCGGAGAGGCTGAAGAGAACGGGCGCTACTGGCGAGAGAGCCAAGGAAGGCATCTCCATCAACTGTGGGCTGGTACGACCCTGGGCATGCGAGGGGCAGCAGGGGGAGGGCAGGGGCTGCCTGAAGACCCAGGGGACCTTTGGGTCCTGCTTGCAGTTGCTCTGCGCTGCTGGAGTTGCTGTGGGTTTTGCTGCCTGGAACTGTAGGGAAGATTCTGTGATCCAAAGTTCTAGAGGGCATGGCTTTACTGCTGAGGGCAGGACTATGGTGTACAGCACAAGTGTGCTAGTCCCCAGAAAATTGAGGGCTGCTAATTTGAGCTTAAAAACTACCCTGAAGTTCAGCGTTTATCTTCACTGCTCTGGTGCTTGTGAGAGTGAGAGGCGCAACACAGGGAAGGAGGGCAAATGCCGAAACTGGTTGGGAAAGCCCCATGCCTTCCCATCTTGCACCGCGAGTGTCGCAGTGTGCAGTCCCAGCCTGAAATTCTGGCTGTGTGGCAGCTGTGTACTCAGCAGGGGCTGAAGTTAGATGGTGGCTTTCCTTTGTGTTGGCAGCTGGCGCTGGGGAATGTCATCAGTGCCCTTGGAGACCAGAGCAAGAAAGCTGTGCATGTGCCCTACCGCGACTCCAAGCTCACCCGCCTGCTGCAGGATTCCCTCGGTGGCAACAGGTGTGGGGACCCCACATAGGGCTGCGATGGGCTGAGGGGCCGTGGAGTGTGTGGGAGCTATTTCAGATGACTGGTGGGCTGCCTGCTGTGGGTTGGGTGCCTCCTGACAGGCAACATGGCACTGCAGATGTGAATGCCTTGCCTGCTTATGAGTCCCAGCTGCAATTAGGCAGCTTTGGTAGAGTTAGCTGGTGTTAAATGCTCCGGAGCCCTTGCAGATCTGCGACGCAATGGGTGCTGTTGTCTGGCATGATTCACAGGATTCTCTGCCTGCTGTGAGGGCACTTTTTTGTAGAGCCCATTCCCGATGGTGCTCTGTCGCTAGGAGGGATTGAACCCAGTTATAAACCATAGGAGGGTTGGGATGGATGCCAAGGCACAGGGCTTGAGCTGAGTGTACTGAGTGGGGAAACCACCCCTTCACCCTGCCCTTCACCTTCCCAAGCCAAACCATCATGATCGCTTGTGTGAGCCCATCTGACCGCGACTTCATGGAGACCCTGAACACTCTCAAGTATGCCAACCGGGCTCGCAACATCAAGAACAAGGTGGTGGTGAACCAGGACAAGACAAGTCAGCAGATCAGTGCCCTGCGGGCTGAGATCGCCCGTCTGCAGATGGAGCTGATGGAGTACAAGGCAGTGAGTGCCCAAGCGAGTCCATGCAGGTGGAATGGAGCCGGGAGGAGGAGGAACCCTTCTTGTGTTTGGTTTGGGGCAGTTTTAGCCAGCAGGACCCTCCTGCCCATGATTCTTCCTCTGGCCCTGTTGTGAGGCCCTTTCCCCTACAGAGTGTGTCCCGTGGCCTGGCCAGTTGAGCTTCATTCTGGATGAGTGTTTGGATGACAGTGGATGGTGTGAGTGAAGCAAAGACACTGTGAGGATGGCACTTTGCCATTGCTGATGATAGCTGCTGAGCTGCTGCCTGCCCAGTACTCCTGTGGGGTGGAAGATTGGATTGGTGGATCAAGCTTTAGAAGGCTCAGACTAGGGCTCGGGATTCTAGGCAGAGAGAAGCCTTGAAGCATCTCTGACCTGTTGAGTTCAGGCTTTCCTGGTTCTTAGGTTTTTCATTCCCCTGCTTTGGAGACTGGGGTTGCCCTCAGGAAGGCAGTGGTGGGGCTCCGTGTCCTGGCACACCCCGCGCTCAGGAACTGCCCGTGTGTCCCCACAGGGCAAGAGGGTCATTGGGGAGGACGGTTCAGAGGGCTACAGCGATTTGTTCCGTGAGAACGCCATGCTGCAGAAGGAGAACAGCGCCCTGCGCATGCGGGTGAAGGCCATGCAGGAGGCCATCGACTCCATCAACAACAGAGTCACCCAACTGATGAGCCAGGAGGCCAACCTGATGCTGGCCAAGGCAGGTGAGGCTGGGCACACGCACGTTGGCCTTGTCCACCCAGTGCGGGAGAGATGGGTGCTGCAGCACTGTCTGTGTCTTGCCTTGAGCCCCTTAAGCCTCTGCTTCTCCAGGTGATAGCAATGAGGCCATCGGTGCTCTCATCCAGAACTACATCCGAGAGATTGAGGAGCTGAGGTGAGCTGGGCACGATGTCTGTTGGGTCGTTTGGGCTGGTGGGTGCCAATGCGGGGTGCGAGTCAAGATGCTGCTCCTGGCTCTGTGTCTCCACCATTTTATTTATAAACCTCAAAGCAGCCAAGACCACTGGGCCTGTGGTAGTCCCAGTCTCGGTGCTGGGCAGTGATTTGGCCAGTACTGCTCTTTGCATGGCTACTGATGGATGGGGAGACCGTGCTGGCAGTCTCTGTTGTCCCCCAGGGGCTGCTGACCCACAAATCTGCGTCCATCTCTGCCTCATGTGACCCCTGGGTACTGCCTCTCTGCAGCATCCTGGCCTTCCAGTCCGAGGTGTCTGGGCACGGTTTGTGTTTGACACGTCAGTGGCACGTCTCCTCATTGACCACATCTTGTCTCTGCTCCCCAGGACGAAGCTTCTGGAGAGTGAATCCATGAATGAATCCTTGCGTCGCAGCCTCTCGCGCCTCTCTGCCCGTCCCCCCTACTCTGTGGGCTCATCCCCAGCTCCCGGCCTGGCTGGGCTGGGCAGCCCTGCTGCCCCTGTGGAAACCGAGGCCTCTGACGTCCTGCGACGGGCCAAGCAGGACCTGGAGCGGCTGAAAAAGAAAGAGAGGAGGCAGCGGAGGAAAAGGTGAAGGCTGTGTGATGCTGGGAAGGGGGGTGCCCCACATCAGCCCTCTCTGTCCTCATGGGGATGAATATCTCACTTTTTCCCCTATCATTGCTAAAACCAGAGCACCCAGACAAAGCCTGGGCATGTGTGTTCCTTTCCTGGCACTGCCTTGGTTGGCTTCTCACCCACCAAGTATCTGGAGGCTGCTTTCCCCATAGAATACAAGAGCAGGACGTTGGTAGCCCTGCGAGGCTCATTCTGACATTAAGACTCACCTGTACCCCGTTGCTCTCCCCCAGCCCAGAGAAGGAAGCATTTAAGAAGCGGCCAAAGCTGCAGCAGGACAACGGGGAGGAGACGGATGAGAATGAAGCAGAAGAGGTGAGAGGGGCTTCGTGTTCCTATGGAAGGGATGCTCACTTACGGAGGACTGTCATCACCCTGAGAGGGAGGGTGATCAAGTTCTGCCCTGGCCCTGCAAGGAGGGGCTGTGGACATGCAGACACAGCCAGGAGTCAGCCCTGCTGTGCAGTGAGGAGCCCATGTCTCTTTGGGGCCTGGTTTCAGAGGTAGCTGAAGGAAGGCTGAGGGGACGCAGTGCTGTTCGGCTGGTAGGGAATGGATGTAGCACAGAGCTCTCCTTAGCTGTGGTGTGCACTGTGGGCCCAGAAATGATGCTTCAGCCCATGAGCATCCCATGTAGGAGACTGAGTCACACTGCAGGGGCTGCAGTTGGTTGCTGTGGGGTGAGCTCAGGTTTGGAGCAGGGGAGCGACCACAGAGAGAAGGGCAAAGCCATGCTGCAAGTTAAATATGGCATTTTCTCTTAGGAGGAGGAGGAGGAGGAACAGGATGAGAGTGGCTGTGAGGAAGAGGATGGACGTGAGGATGAAGATGAGGACTCAGGCAGTGAAGAAAGCCTGGTGGACTCTGACTCGGATGCAGAGGAGAAGGGTAAAGTACAGAGCCCAGAGCACGGGGGTGCATTTGCTGGACTCCAGTCCTGGAAAGGGAGAATTCCCCGAGATGCTGGGTTGTCTCCTCTCTGGGGGACTGGCAGAGCACCAGAGTCAGTGCAGGGAGCCTCCAAGTTCCCATCAGCCCCCCCCTGCTCCCTCCTTGCGCTGTGGCTCTGTGGGACCATGGGAGCAATGCTGTCCCCATCCCTGCTGGCCTGACTATGCTCTCTGGCTTCCAGCGGTGAATTTCCAGGCTGACCTTGCAGATTTGACTTGTGAGATAGAGATCAAGCAGAAGCTGATCGATGAGCTGGAGAACAGCCAACGGCGCCTGCAGACGCTCAAGCACCAGTATGAGGAGAAGCTGATCCTGCTGCAGAACAAGATCCGGGACACGCAGCTGGAGCGGGACCGGGTCCTGCAGAACCTCAGTGAGAGCCGCCTCACCCACAGCATCCCAGCAGCATTGGGTCCCTTTTCTCCTCCTGCCCACCTGGCTAAGGGCTGACACATCCATCCCCTGCATGCAGCCACAGGCTTTGCCACCAACCCTGCTCTGCTTGAGCAGCTGGGATCCCAAGGCTGTGCTCTTATCACTGTGGGAGTGGGAGCTGGAGACTGCTGGGGAGGATGGTGAGGCAAAGCCTTTATTGAACACTGCTTTGTGGGGTGTACGGATTCCTGGGTGAATTGTGCTGTGGGCATATGAAGGACCCCAAAGACCCGCAGCGTAGCTGATTTCCAGGCTCAGCATCAGCCAAGAAGGCTGCATTTGGCTGTAGGTCCAGGTCCGCATCTCCTTTCAGCCCAGCAATTGGTGTAACCCACTGCCCCTGTTTTGTGTCAACCCACTGGGTGCCCCAGACAGACCCCTGCCAGTGCAGCATGACAGAGGGCTCTAGTGAAACAAGGGGCACAGAGACCCTTACAAACTCTCTCCCTATTCCTGCAGGCACCATGGAGTGCTACACAGAGGAGAAGGCCAACAAGATCAAAGCAGACTATGAGAAACGGCTGAAGGAGATGAACAGGGACCTGCAGAAGCTGCAGGCTGCCCAGAAGGAACATGCTCGCCTGCTCAAGAACCAGTCCCGCTACGAGCGGGAGCTGAGGAAGCTGCAGGCAGAGGTGGCTGAGATGAAGAAAGCAAAGGTACTCAGGGTGGGAAGGGCGTTGCTTGGGAGCAGCGAGGCTGAGACTGGTTTGGCCAAGCCTGGCTTCCTCTCAGCTCAAGGAAAAAGCTGTTTTCTGCTCCTGCTGGTGATGCAGGATGCCTGCCTGGTGGATGGCTGTCCTGGCTGCTGGGAACACCAGGTGCCCGTGCAGACATCGCACCTTCCCTCTGCAGGTCGCGCTGATGAAGCAGATGCGGGAGGAGCAGCAGCGGAGACGACTGGCAGAGACGAAGAGGAACAGGGAAATAGCACAGCTCAAGAAGGAGCAGCGCCGGCAGGAGGTGAGAAGGCAGCCTGCCTGCGTGCTGCTGGGTCACCTGGTGCCAGGACGATCCTGAATCTCGCAGTGTGGTTGTTGGAGATCTGTGAGCTCCCCACCGCCTTCAGGGGAATAGTGCCACCAAAACTAGCCTTGAGGCTGGAATGGGGGCTTCTGCACTGTTCAAATCACAAGTGATGCTCATGCCAAAGCAACTGCTCTAGTATTTGGTGGTGGAAGTGCTGGTTCTGCAGCCATTGCTAAGGGGTCTGGGTGGCTTGTCTTTTCCCAGCAGGACCTCATAGTCTGTCTCTCCCTATGCAGTTTCAGATCCGGGCTCTGGAGTCTCAGAAGCGGCAGCAGGAAATTGTGCTGCGAAGGAAAACTCAGGAGGTGAGGGGGGACCACCTTCGTGCAGCCCTCAGCCCCAAGGGGGATCCCAAACAGTGGCTCAGTGGCACCAAATCTGGGAGCTGAGGTCGGTGATGGGTTTGTCTGGGGATGGCTGATGGCAGCATGCTCACACTGTCTTCTGGGCAGGTCTCAGCGCTGCGCCGTCTCGCCAAGCCCATGTCAGACCGAGTTGCAGGCAGGACGAGCCAGAAGCCAGCCATGCTGGACTCTGGTGCAGAGGTCTCAGCCAGCACCACCTCGTCTGAGCCAGAGTCCGGCGCTCGCTCCGTCTCCAGCATCGTGCGCCAATGGAACAGGAAAATCAATAACTTCCTGGGAGACCCCTCACCTTCTGTCAATGGGGCTCGGCCAGTCAGGTCAGGGCAGTGGTGGCACTGCGGGGCTGGGTTAACGAGCGACGGGAATCCCAGGGCTCAGGGGTCTGCCTTTTGGCTGATGGCAGAGGCTGGAGGCCAACTCTTCATTGTGTGTTTGGCTGGAGGTAAAGTGCCTGGAGGTAAAGGGATGGGCTGTGCTTGGAGTGTGCTCTCTATGGAGCTGTTAGAGCAGGGAGGGGTGACAGCAGAGGTGGATAATCCAAAAGCGAGACAGCCTCCTGTGATGCAACCAGCACTTGGGCATCCTTCTGGGGACAGCACAGCTTCCCAGACATGGTGCAACTGGGTGCCCATGTGCCTCTGCTCCCCTCGCGCTGTAGGAAGAAGTTCCCCAAGAAGGGATCGAGTCAGACCTTCAGTAAAGCTGCCCGCCTCAAGTGGCAGTCGCTGGAGCGGCGCATCTTCGACATCGTGATGCAGAGGATGACCATCGTCAACCTGGAGGCTGACATGGAGAGGCTCATCAAGGTGAGGGGGGTGGCCGTGGGGCTGCGGGTGGCCGTGTCAGCACAGTGCCAATCCTTCTCCCTTTTTCCTTCAGAAACGAGAGGAGCTGGCACTGCTGCAGGAGGCCCTGCTGGGCAAGAGGGCGAAACTGCAGGCAGAGAGCCCGAAGGAGCAGAAGGGGCTGCAGGAGCTGAACGAGGAGATTGAGGTGCTGGGGGCCAACATTGACTACATCAATGACAGCATCTCTGACTGCCAAGCTACCATCATGCAGATTGAGGAGACCAAGGTGGGCAGAGGGAGAGGCTGGGAGGGAGATGGGAACGTCCCTGGGAAGGAACTCAGGCATCACAGTGCTTCCTGGGCGTGGGGAAGTTGCATGCTCCCACTTCAGTGGTCTCCATGCAAGCTTTCATGGGGTCTGTACTGGAAACTTGCTGGGAAAAAAGCTGGGCTTCAGCACAAACCCCACAGGTTTTAGTGCCCAATTCTGACACCAGACACAACGCGCACGGCTCCTTACCCCTCTGTCATCAAGAGGCTTTGTGTCTCTGCAGCCTTTGGGACAGTGGCTGTGCCACCGGCCAGGACCCCATGGGGCAGCAGTGGAGCAGCTTCAGCCCCGAGTGCCTGTGCAGGCTGTGGTGCCCGCTCTGTCAGGCCCTGCCCCGTTGCCATTCCCCCGGCCTCATCCACTTCCTTCCCCTCACAGGAGGAGCTGGACTCCACGGACACCTCGGTGGTGATCAGTTCCTGCTCCCTTGCTGAAGCCCGGCTGCTGCTGGACAACTTCCTGAAGGCATCCATCGACAAGGTGCTGCTGCTGCTTGGAGCGCTGTCTGCACGTGGGGCTTTCTCCCACCTGTGAGTCGTGCGGTGGGGATCCCATAGCGCCTGTCTGAGGACGGTGTGATCGTCCATCCGGCAGGGCCTGCAGGTGGCACAGAAGGAGGCCCAGATCCGCCTCCTGGAGGGACGGCTGAAGCAGACGGATGTGACCGGCTCCTCGCAGAACCACCTCATCCTGGATGCCCTGCGGGAGAAGGCTGAGTCGCACCCTGAGCTCCAGGCGCTGATTCACAACGTCCAGCAAGGTGGGCCAGAGCCCAGACCGCCCTCCTTTACACTGGGTATGGCCTCCGCCTCTTCCCCGTGGGATAGAGCTGGACTTTCTGTGTTGGGCGCTCGGGAAGCAGCAGGAGGTGCCGCCATTGGCATCAGCATGCCCTTGGGCTGCGTGGAGGGTGCAGAAGAAGGCCTGCCGCCTCATGGCTGCCCAGACTGTGCCCCCAGCTCCAGCGCAGTGTGCTTTGATTGGGACTTGGTTCCCTTCGTGCTGCTGATGTGCCTTCTCCCTTGTGTGCAGAGAATGGCTACACCAGCACAGATGAGGAGGTCTCTGAATTCAGCTTGGCTTCAGATGGGAGGTGAGCAGCCAGCCCTTCACAGCCTGCAGGCTGTGCGTTCGTGTGTGGTGGCTGGAGGTGGGAAGGGTTACCACCTACGGGAACTGGCAGGTAGATATTGAAGAAAAAAACACCATCTACACTTTCTTGTGGTGCGTAGCCCTTTGGGGAGGGGAGCACAGACATCTCTTAGACACTAAAAGACTTGATCATCCTTTGGAGAAGGGGTGCTGAGGAGCAGGAGTGACCTAGGGAGGCTGAGGGACTGGTAGCAGTCTGTGAAAGGAGTTCAGTGCTGAAGATCCATCTCTGCCACCTTCTCCTTGCAGCATCTCCCAGTCTTTCAGCATGAAGGGCTCAGCGAGTCAGGATGATTTCAAGTTCAAGGTGAGTTGGCCATCGCGTGGCCCTGTTACAGGGTGTTGGAGAAAGGGTTGAGGGACGTGTTGGGTCCATGCCTGAGCCCCATGTTCTGCTCTAGGGAGAGCCCAAGCTCTCGGGGCAGATGAAGGCAGTGTCAGCTGAATGTCTAGGACCCACGCTGGACATCTCCACCAAGAACATCACCAAGTCCTTGGCATCGCTCATGGAGATCAAAGAGGATGGGATCAGCTTCTCAATCCGAGACCCCTATTACAAGGAGAAGGTGTCGCGCACCGTCAGCCTGCCCACACGGGGGAGCACTTTGTGAGCACAGGGCGATGGTCCATCGGGCTCCAGGAGGTTGGCTGGGAGGCGCGGGCCACGGGGTGGGAAACTCTGCCTTGGATGTCGAGGGGCAAAGCAATGAGGATGAGCCAAATCCTGCCATGCAGCTCAGCTTGCAGCACGTAGCGGTGGGTTTCTCCAGCAGGCTTTTCAGAACGTTGAGGCTTATGTTGGCACTCAGTGTGGGTGGAGAGTGGTTCAAGAGGAAGGAAAGAAGGGGCGGTGTGAGAGCCCTGTCTCACTGCCCTGGCTGATCAGCCTTCATGGAGGCTTCTTGCGTTGCCAAAGGTTTCTGCGCTCAGAGGCATCTTCTGATCTCATGACTGTGTCACCAGGCAGCCCACCTTCTCCATTTGGGAGGGGGGGATGTGGAGGTTCAGCACGGAGGTCTCTGGATGGAGGAGGGCAGCCACCTGCTATGTTCTTTCTTTTATTTAAGTCCCAGACAATCTCGTGTCTCAGACACGTCGCCTCTCACAAGGAGGAAATCCTACGACCGTGGGCAACCTGCTAGGTGAGCCTGGGAGGCCTTGGGCAGGGGGAGGCTGGGAGGTCTGGGCAGACTGGCAGAGATGCCTGCTGATCAGCTCCTGCTGCTTCAGCTGCGCCCTGGGCAGTTTGGCAGCTGCCAGGTGAGCGGTTCCCAAGTCGTGTGTTCCTCTGATCCTTCCTGGCCCAGGCCTCCAGATGTCGGCTTCACTCCTCCCTCATCCCCACCCACACGCCCTCGCAACGACCGCAATGTCTTCTCTCGTCTCACGAGCAACCAGAGCCAGGGGTCTGCCTTGGACAAGTAAGTCGAGGTGGGGTGGGAGAGTCTGAGCGAGGGGCACCTGTGCAGTAACAGCAAAACCTTATCAGGTCCCACTGTGGGTGTTGGAGCGCCCAGGTTGTCTCGAGCCACCCTCCTGGCACTGCTTTTCCTTAGTGCCCCTCTGCAAGAGCAGCTGGATGCTGCGCTGGGCCCTGCTGGATTCCTGCCTTGCGTGAATCCCTCTGAGCTGCTTGCAGGAACTCCCAGTCCTGGGCTTTGGTTGAGCCGTGCAGTGCCAGGCTGGGATGGCTGGAAGATGTGAAGCAGGATGCAGTGAGGCAGGGTGGGGGTTGGCAGGAAGCTGAGTGGCACTGACCCACAGGCGCAGCGCCGGCCGCCCGCAGGGCAGGTTGGGCAGCTGCCCTCACCTTGGAGCACTGCTTGCAGCGCGGACGTTCCTGACGGAGATCTGCTGTCTGACCCTCACGGTCCCTGCTGCTCCTCTGCCCTTTCCTCTGTTCTCTGTGTGTGCTTCTCTTTTCCCTCTCTCCTCTTTCTCCGTGTCCTCCCCTGGCTTGGATGCAATAACAATCCTCCACTCTGACTCCTCTGCTGCCTCTTCTAGTCTGGGTTTTCTCTCCCATAATCCTGCTAATTTTCTGCCCCTAGGTCTGATGACAGCGATTCCTCTGTCTCGGAGGTGCTGAGGTATAGACAACTTTCTATTTATTACCCCTTCCTCTTCTTTTCTCTCTCTCACGAGTTTGCTCTCCCTTGTCCCTGCATGCTTCACTTGTGCCTTGCTGCTTTGCCCATCTCCCAGCTTGTGTGTGCTGTCCCCTCTTGGCACGTCACCGACAGTCCCTGACAGTGTCCCCCGGTTGTGAGTTTGAACCGTTCCTGCTCTGCTCAGCCTTTGGAAGCCAGGCACTGGGCTTGCCTGCAGACACGGGCTGCTTTGCAGAGGCAGCATGCTCTGTGCCATCTCTGATGGGCTCTTGTCAGCATGTCCTGTCCCATCCCTGGCTCTCCAGCAGGACTGTGATGCTGGGATGAGCAACACTGGACACTGTGTCAGTGTGTTCTTCTTGCAAGCGTCTTCCAGGGAAATATGTGCAGGTGTTCCCCATGCTTGGCTGCATCTCTGCAGCACTGGGTTCTGGGTGGGCAGAGCTCTTTGCCCCAGAAGCCAAGTCACTGCAAAGCTCAGCATAGGGGTGAAGGTTTGTCCCAGTGCAGTAGAGAGGATCCCTGGTGCGAGGACAACCTTCTCCCTGCCTTTAGGAGCACCTGTGGTGCAGAGGATACTGGAGATGTGGCACCAGATGTGCGTGTGCTTTGTCATCTTGAGCTGTTTGCTCTGATCACGTCTCACCCTGGGGAGCCAGAATTTCCATTTGGTCTCAGTGTCACCTCAAGACCAGTAGAAACACTAGGGGTCAGAGGAGAGCTGCTTAATTTGTGAGCACAGCTGCTAATTGAGAAAGAGATCGCACGCATGCGACTTCCAAACCCGAATTAATGAGCTTACATTCATCCTTCTGACTAATGCAAACCTTATGTGGCCCTGGGCCTGTCCTTCTCCAGCCTCCTGCCTTGTTTTCCCTACTCATAAGATTTAGCATAGCTCAGAGCCCCTGGCAGTGCTGGGGGTGCCAGCAGGGAAGAGCTGCTGATGGCCATAAACATCAGGGCTGCAGCTGTGGGGCTGTTGGACCTCAGTGCTTTGAACACTCTGATGTGGAGGTGATTCGCAGATGCTGTGCCCAAAGGGCTGAGCTGCGTGTGCCTGCCGGCGTCCCTTGCAGGAAGGTTTGGCAAGGATAGATTCTCTCCTGCCCTGGGCCAGCACTGGGCACAGGGATGCTGGGTACAGATGCCAGTGCTGCCTCTGTCATCCTTATGGTCTTAAAAGGAGTACAGTTCTGTTTCCAAACGTTACCAGCCACAGGCTGGCTGGCGGGCTCGAAGGAGCTGCCATCATAATGAAGCATTCCTAGCTTCAGAATGGAGAAAGTGCAATTTGTCCTAAACTGAGCTGAGGCCAATGAGCTGAGCCTCCTGGTTCATCTCAGTTCTGCCCAGGTTTGAGTGGCTCAGCAGCAGAGCAGAGGCCATGAGCACCGTGTCTCACAGTCTGTGTCCCCTGGGCAGAGCTGTTAGGCTGGGGCTGCTCGTGGGGAGACTCCTAGGTTTTCCATGAAGGTGTTTGCTCACGTGCCTGAGTTCAGACAGAGGGGCCCATTGCTCTGCCAGGCAGAGGAAGATGCTTGGGGTGAGGCGCCTCGTGCTTTCTCATGCCCGTAGGACCTTGTGGTGCTGTGCCTTTCCACACACCTACCCCACCACGCTTGTTCTGTCTTTCCCATGCAAGGGGCATCATTAATCCAGTGGGTGGCACCAAGAACGCGCGGACAGCCCCGCTGCAGTGCGTCTCTGTGGCAGAAGGACACACCAAGCCTGTGCTCTGCCTGGATGCCACCGATGAACTGCTTTTCACTGGCTCCAAAGGTAAGTGGTGGACAGAGAAGGCGTTGGGGGTTGCTGGCTTTTTATGCGCTGTGGGAGCAGGTTGGCATGGGGAATTCGTGGGCACTGCAGGCATGGTTCCTCCTGGGCTGCTCTCCTGTCCCTGCCCTCTGATGTCCACGTGCTGGAGCAGGCTGGCTCCGTTCCCCTGGAAAGGAGCTGAGGGTGGCGGCAGGCAGTGTTTGGGAAGGGATCGGTGCCTCCGTGCCATGGAGGATCTCCCCAGCCTGACGCTCTCAGACGTGCTCTTTTTCCTGCAGACCGGAGCTGTAAGATGTGGAACTTGGTGACTGGTCAGGAAATCGCTTCCCTCAAGGGTCACCCAAATAACGTCGTTTCCATCAAGTACTGCAGCCATACGGGGTTGGTGTTCACCGTGTCCACGTCGTACATCAAAGTGTGGGACATCCGGGACTCAGCCCGCTGCATCCGCACCCTCACGTACGTGGGGGGAAGGGAGGCTGTGGGCACCTCTGGCTTTGCAGGTCTCCAAAACTCCTGGGATCCCACAGTGTGGAGACAGCCCAGCTGCTTTAGTACCAGCACTACCAGTACTGCCTACCAGTAGCTGTAGGAAACAGGGAGGCTTAAGGAGATCTTAGAGGGAATCTGTGAGGACCCTCTGCAGAAAAGGCTCAAAGGAAGGGGCCTTGAAGAGGATTTCAGCCCTTCTTGGGGGCGGCCAAGAGCGCCAGCAGCTCTGCAGAGGAGGCCCAGACCCGAACAGCATTGCAGCTGAGTCCGTCCCAGGCTTTGCAGTGGAAAATGTGGGTCTCTAAGGAGGAGTCTAAGATTGGAACGAATCATGGACTCAAAGAGCGTGGCAGACCAGTGTTACCAGCTCACTTCTGTGCCTCAAGGTCTTTCTCCCTCCCCCTTCTCCTGTGATGGGGAGGCCAAATATCTCTGCCTCCCAGTGTGGCCAGCAATAATCCAGCTCTTCCTGCAGGAGGACTGAGAAAGCAGCAGCACCCAAGTGGGAACTAGGGCAGGGTATTCTGTGTTCTGAGCACACCTGCCATCCGTGGCCCCACCCCAGGCAGAGCACTGGTCTGGAAGGTGGAGGTGATCCTGGTCCCAAGGCCAGATGATGCCACTGATGATACCTGCAGGACCGTTCCCAGTGTGGGACCAGCTGGGAGCCAGCAACCCCTTTGGGCTCCTCAGCAGGGCCTCAGAGGCTCTGACCTGGTCTCTGATCATCCTTTCTCCTCCCTTCCTCTCTAGGTCTTCTGGCCAGGTGATCTCTGGGGATGCGTGTGCTGGGACAACCACACGCACTGTGACCAGTGTGCAGGGGGAGCACCAGATCAACCAGATCGCTCTCAACCCCACTGGCACCACCCTCTATGCTGCCACTGGAAACTCCGTCCGCATCTGGGAGCTGAGCAGGTGAGGGGCAGCACAGAGGCAGGCAGGACAACTTACTGATTCTGTGTGGACAGGGTCCATCTGAAAAGACTGCCCTAAGGAAAGGGAAAATCTTTTTAGCTGTGGAAGCTGCCTGAAATGAGGGCTTTCAGAACCCTTCTGTACACCTTTTCTAGTCCCTGTTTTGGGACCAACGGGTGATGAGCAGCAACAGGGCTACTTGAGATGTGGGTTCCATCTGTGGGAAGAGGGAAGAGATGGGGGATGAACAGCAGTCTCCTCAGGCTGTGCCACTGACACTGAGCCCTCAGTGCAGCGTGGGCTCTGCAGGTGGCTGTTGTTGTCCCCCAAAGCTGCCTTCATCCCTCAGCATCACTGTGAAGCAGGGTACCTCCGATGGCGATGTCCCCAAAAGGATCTTCCTCTGTCGGGGGCTGATGTGAGGGCAGTGGGGTTTGTGCTGGGGGAGGGCCCTGAAGGAGCTGTGCTGTTGGGAAGGGGCTGACTGACCCTTGTCACTGGTTGCAGGCTGCAGCCTGTTGGAAAGCTGAGTGGCCACATTGGGCCCGTGATGTGTCTCACGGTAAACCAGACTGCAAGCAACCATGACCTGGTGGTGACAGGCTCCAAAGATCACTACGTCAAGGTACTCTCCTGTGGCTGCTGGGCAGAGCCCAGAGCCCTCTTCTCTCTCCTTGCCCAGGTTTCTGGTTTTCCCTGTTCTGCACGTGGCTTTTTGTGCATCTTCTCACCCCAAATCTTTTTATTTCATGTGTGATGCAAATACAGCTTTGGAGATGGGGGTTTGCATCTCTCACTCCTTGGACTCTGTGGCTCATGTTCCATGTCACATCTGACTCAGCTGAGCAGTTTGTCCTGTTCTGCTCAATCCTCCCTCCTGTTACAGGTGATTTGCACCTGCTCATTTGCAGCTCCAGGACAACAAAAGATTGCACCTTCATTTTATGTTATTTTATTTTATTATTTTATTTTTCTGGCTCTTAGTAGGTTTGAATTGGAGCTGGCATCAGGGGAGTGGAGAGGGTGGTGAGGTGGGGGGGTGGCAGGATTCCACTCTTCTTAGCATCGTGAAGATGTGTGAAAGCTCATGATGGGTAAAATGTAGCAGAGCAGAGGCTCTGTGGTGGCACATCTCTCCCGGTGGATGAAATGAGGAAGACAGTAATTGTAACTGAGTTCTGATGGCATCTCTGAATTGGATTTCCCTTTTGTGACATCCTCGAGCCGTGCTGGCAGCAGAGTTCTCCATTACTGTAGGAAGTCGTTAGGCGTTTGTAGAATGAAGTGATAGTTCCACTGCAAAGTATAGGTGTAAGGAGTAAGTAAGTGCCTGAGATATTGTATGGAACCCTGAGAACAATTTCCAGCTATGACACGGACTCCTGTGCCCATGGTGAGGGATGTGTGGATCACTGTCACCACCCACCCAAGCGGTGCTATTTAACCACAACCCTGTTTTCAGCAGATCTGCTTTCTGTGAGCCTCGGGAATGGAGGGTGGTGGCCAAGTTCTTTGAGGAGGGCTGTCCTCTGTTTCCAGAGCCACCCAGGGTCTCCCAGCTGCTGTTTTCCCCCCAGGTGTTTGAGATTGCTGAGGGCGTGGTGGGCAATGTCAGCCCCACTCACAACTTCGAGCCCCCTCACTACGATGGCATCGAGTGCCTGGCCATCCAGGGAGACGTCCTCTTCAGCGGCTCCAGGGACAACGGCATTAAAAAGTGGGATCTGGAGCAGCAGGAACTTCTCCAGGTCAGGAGGGGAGCATAGGGGTAATGTGGGGCAGAGCAGGATTGCTGCTGTGTGTGGGGAAAGGCTGAGGGACCTGGTCCGGGTCCTGCTATCCTGGGAGGGCAACCGGTTCCTGGGGATCTGGCAGCGTGTGCCAAGTGGCTCAGTGTGCCTATAGATGTGTACTGCAGGGCGCCCAGAACTGCCAGCTCCCCTTGGGACATAGGCTTTGCAGCATCAGTCGCTGTGCTACTCTGAAAACAGGATTCAGCCTTAAATCTTGAGTCCAGCTTGGTGATTCGGATCGACCCCGGGGCAGCAGTGATGATCTGCAGCCCTGCAGCTGAGTGTGTGAGGCAGATTGTGATCTCTGCTCTGTCCCCATGCCCACAGCAAATCCCAAATGCACACAAAGACTGGGTCTGTGCCCTGGCCTTCATCCCTGGCCGCCCCATGGTGCTGAGTGCCTGCCGAGGAGGCATGATCAAAGTCTGGAATGTGGACAACTTCACCCCGGTTGGGGAGATCAAAGGGCACGACAGCCCCATCAACGCCATCTGTACCAACTCCAAGCACATCTTCACTGCCTCCAGGTGAGCCTGAGGCTTGGTGCTTCCCAGAGCCCCCGGGAGGTGGGAGAGCCCTGGGTTGTCCTGTCATCCCTGGGCCTGGGTGGGTTTGCACTGAGCAGGGCAGGGAGCCTGGAGGGAGAAAAGGGTGGGAGGGATCTTGCAGCTTTCCGGTCCCTCCGTGCCTTCATCTCTTCTTGCCCATCTTAGTCTGTCCCCTGCCCACTCTCTGGGATATCCCCACACAGGGACCCCTCTTCCCTGGGGCTGGGCGTCCCCTGCTGCTCTCGGGGAGCAATTTGGCAGCAAGACTCTGATGTCCTCTTTTCCACCGTGTCCCTTTTCCCCCTTCCTTTCTCTGTCTCTCTCTGTCTCTCCTCCTCCCCACCTCCCATCTGTGCCACAGTGACTGCCGGGTAAAGTTATGGAATTACGTGCCTGGGCTCACCCCTTGCCTTCCACGACGCGTCCTTGCCATAAAGGGCCGTGCTACTAGTCTGCCTTGACCCTCCTGCTCTTTCTGACTCTCTTGCACATGCACTCTTCTGTCTTTTCTTTCCTTTTCTCTCTCTCCATCTCCTCTTCCCTCTGTCTTTCTTGCTGTTGCTTGCTTTTGTTCTTCTCTCTTTCTTTCTCTCTCTCTGGTCTGAGCTGCTTCTTAACGGTATGAAACTCTTTTGCGTTTTTCCCCACTTGATAAATCCGTGCTGGAGGTGACTTGCCCCTTTGTCCCAGCCAAACCAGTCATTCCCCTGTGGAGTTTTGTTTTGTTTCCTTTTTTTTTTCTTCTTTTTTTTTAACCTCTTGCCCAATGCCCACATCTGTGGCAGCTGTGTTCTGCCCTCACCCTTGCATGGATGGTGGGGGGGAGTCGGCAGCCCCCTGCCAACCAACCCATGCCCTGGGGAGACCAAATTCTCTACCCCACCACTTTGAGCCGTAGGCAGAGCCGATGCAGGGGCTGTGGGAGTCCTGCGGGTCACTGCTTGCCTTTGTCCTCAGCTCTGCCAGTGGGGTGAGCTGGAGGCTGAGCCCCATTGGGCCTTCCTGCTCCCTCTCAGACGTAGCATCCTCCTGCCAAGAGCCTGGGAGCTCGTGGGCTGCATGCTGCCATGGGCTGGGGGTGGGCGGCGCTTCTCTTGCAGCGCCTGCCTGAGGCATGCGAAGCTCCTGGCTCACACCTCTCTCTTGCTTCTGTTTCTCAGCGACCTGACAGTGAAGCTCTGGAGTGGGAGGAGGTTACCCACCAGCTCCAACTAGGAACTGCAGAACTGCTAGAAGATGTGGCAGGAGGGTGAAGGCTGGGGTTCACCCCATCATCTATGGGAACTCTGCCCGGGGATGGGGATTCTTGTGCCTGACCCGGCAGGGTGGGTGAGATGCATCTTGTCCCATCCTTGAGCACTGGCAGATCCCGTGAAGAGGCAGCTCAACAAAGCACCGTCCGCTCCACTTTGCCTCCTGCTGCAGTTTCTCAGTGGTTTTCCAGTGACCAGGAAAGACTTCATCTCTTTTCTCACCCACCCTACTGTGCTGCCTGCCAGGTCTGTGAGGGGTTGGAGTCCAGGTGAGCTTCCTGGCTCCTTTTCAGAGACATCCAGCTCCCTCCTGTCTCTGTGGCTTCATGCAGCCTCTGCCTGGATTTGCTGCTTTTGTCCCCGCTGTCTCCAGGCTGGTTCCTGCAAGAATCTTTCTCTGTTCCACAGTCTCAAGGCTATTTGAAGTCTTCTGGCCGGGACCAGAGGTCAGGTTGTTCTTTTTTCCTTTGGAGACATTTCCTGTGGGACGTCCTCTGTGCTGCAGTGGATCTGCAGAAGGACCTTCAGTTAGTTCCATCCTTCCCTAACCTCAGCATACCTGGCTGCAGCAGCTGGAGCTGCACATCTGACCTGGCTCACCCGGAGCTTCCCTGCTGTGCCATCACACCACTTCCAGCCCAACCCGCTGTGCTTCCCTGCAGCCATCTCTGAATTCCGACTGCAAACTCTGCTGACCCTCTCCCCTTCACCGTGTGCCCACTTTGCTCTGTGGTGGGGTAGGGAAGGGCTTCTCACCCTCAGCTACGGCTGCAGGTGGGTGAGGATGGAGATGGCTGTGCCAGGAGCAGAGCGCAGACGGGTTGGATGCTGGTCCTGCACGAGTCCCCCCGTGGCTGCACGCCTGAAGGACAATCCTACAGAGAATGATTGTGCACAGCTGGAGCCCTTCAGAAGGCTGAAGGCTCAGCCCAGGAGTGTCAACGAGGATGCAGCCTCTCCAGCTGCCCTGCTCGCTTTTCTCTGGTCAGGGGGCCAACAAGGCCCTGGTCTCACACTGGAGCTTTCTTCTACCTCTCCTGTGGTCCCTCGGAGCATCCCCTGCTCCATCTGCCCTGCCCCACGCTGGGCTCGTGAGGGAACCGGCTGTGTTGACCCTGGGAGTGGTGTTCTCACCTTATGTGCTCTCACTTCACTTTTGTCACTGAAGAATCAACGTTTGAACTCGGATTTAAGGATTTCTCTGTGTGATCCCATTGGTGCTGAGCTAGGATCTCTGAGGAGCTCCAGGATGTGCCCCGTAAAGCACAGACCGATTTCCTTCTGCTTTCTGCAGCCCTGTTTTTTTGTCACCAGCCCTTGTTCAAACCACTGCAGGAGGGAATTTCTGCACACCTTGAAACAGGAGCATCTCTACTGACTTGATGAAATCTTTCTTCTTTTATCATTTGGGGGGGGGGGGGATGAAGAAAATGCTGTTTACACGCCCCGCTGGAGGGCATGATGGCTGCACAGGGTCACCCTGCCCAGGACAGGATGGTGACTGCACCTGGGTCACAGCTGAGCCCTGTGCTGTGGGGCTGGGGGTGGGCAGAAAGGCTCAGAGGCCCCACGGCTGCCCCGTGACGCACAGCACCAGGAGGTGGAGGCAGTGCTGCCCTCTCAGCCTGTTCTTTTTCATTGGGATGTGTGTGTCTGCGTTTGTGTGGCTGTAGCTGGGTGTGCCATGGGCATTGGTGTCTAAGTACCTGTGTGGGTTGCTATTTCCCATGTGGAAGAGTGACTTTTTTTTGGGGGGGAGGGGGATGTTGATTTGGTTTAGCTACCTCACGGTGCAAGCTGGGTGCTGTTGTCATTGGTTTCATTTTGGGGGTGGGCTGGGGAGGCTTTGTTTGTATTCCTTTGGCCATTGCTGTTATGGATTTGATACTTGAGTTTGTCCCAAAGACGCGCGGCCTCACTGCGCCTTGCTGTGTTTCTGAGCCCCTCCTGTTTCCTCCTGTTGCTCGGCACAGGGCTCTGTGCTTCTGCTCTTAGGCGTGGGGTCGATGTGCAGCCTGAGGGCAGTGGTTCCCTTGAAGCACAGGCAGGTCCCTCTGTGGGGCTGAGCTCAGCCTGTGTTCTTGCCTCTGCTCTCATAGAGATTTGCTGTGGGTGCAAAGCAGCTCTTCTTGTCTGGGCAATGCCATGCAGGGCACGTTATTGGAATGGGCTGGTCCTGGTCCCTGTGTTCCAGAACCTGCTGTGATGTGGTAGCAGCAGGCAGCTGGTGCTGTAACAGCCTCTGCCCGAAACGGAGGCAGCCTGAGATGAACTGGATCTCATAGGTGCTGTTAGAGTTGTTGTCCCCAAAATGTAGTTCAATCTAGATCCTGTCCCAGGCACTGAGCATCACTAGGACAGCCCTGGGAAGCTGGCGTGGGGCTCTGCCCTGCTCCCCAGCACTGGGGGCTGTGGGAGGGGGCAGCTCTGAGCCATGCTGTTGGGGGGGGGGGGGGCAGGTCCTCCGAACGCTAAAGCACAAAGTCCCACCCCAGCTGAAGTCCACCAAGTGTGGCCCCTTGGCCTCTGGTCCTTCGGCTCCTTCCCTTGCTGTGGCTGCCCTGCCTCTGCCTGGGCGGGCACCAGAAGGCCCTGGGGCTGCATTTGCCCATTTTGCCATCTGTTCCAGGGCCCAGGGTACAGTGCCTGCAGGCCCCGGCTGGGGCTGTGGTTTTGGACGCAGAGGGTGAAGGTGAAGGGCTGGGATGCAGATGGGGTCGGTCCTTTCGCACTGTGCTGGGTGCTCCTTTGGGGCTCAGGACTTGCACTGCTTTCTTGTGGTCTCTGAGCCTCTCTGCACCTCGTTTTGCTTCTCCCTCGGTGCCTTTGTTTGTGCCAAGCATGGGGATGATAGCTGCTGTCCTGGGAGCTCCTTCCCTTGCTGAGAGCTGGGGGACTTTTTGTTCCTGGGCTCTGCCTCTTGCTCCTGAATCTCCTCCTCCCAGCACACAGGGGCCAGCTTCGCGCTCTGCTGAGGGCACAGCACTGCCTGGAGCTGAGCTTTGCACAGAAGGGAAGGAGTTGACTCAGAAGCCCAAATTTTCGGGCCCCCAAACCACTGTGAGCCCATCCAGGGAGCTGCAGCTTTCCCAGCACAAACGACAAGGCTGTAGGGCTGTCCTCAGCCCAGCCAGCTGCGAGAAGCACAAGGGTACGTTGTTCCTCCCCAGCACCTCCAAGCACAGCTGCTTTGGGCTCCCTGCCTCAGCGTTCTGCTCCCATCCCACGCTGGATGGGGTCCAGGTACGATCCCACAGAGCACTTGTCACTTCTCTCCTTGCCTTGCAGCCTGCTCACTGCTGCCTTGCTCCATCCTGCAGGCACATCGCCTCCCGCTCCCCCAGGTCTCGCACCCCGTGGTGCTCCCGCTCCAGCTGGGAGGGATCCCAGCACAGTCCCACTCCCCCCAGGCCTTGTCCCCAGCAAAGCGTCACCCTTTGCCTCCCTGCCACCCCGGGGCTTTGTCCGCATTCCCAGTGGAGCAGCTCTGCCCCTTTATCTGCTCACTGCTCCGCATCCCACGACCGCCCTGCTCTGCTCCCTGCGCTGCACCGCCTGCTCCAGCAGCCCATCCCGCTGCACAACTGGCACAGCAGCAGGTGCCTTTTCTTGCTCGGAGCTGTTGTACAGAGGCCAACTCCTGTTTGTGAAGGCTTTTTTTGTCTCTGCTGGGTGGCGCAGCCCAGCGCTGCGGTCTGGGTTTGTCAGAGGACAAGGTGTGTACAAATATTTTATACCTCGATGTGTTCCTGTAAATAGTGTAACTTATTTCGGTCTCATGATGTATGTTTGTTTGGATTTTTTCCCAATGGATGTGTTTGTTCCTTGCCTCTTTGTCTTCGCAAATAAAGCGTACTGAAAGGAAGGGACAAAGCAGTGATGACTGTTATGGGGAAGAACAGAGCTGGAAGCCGCCCGTCCTGATGCGCGTGGCCTGGGAGCTGCGAGGAAGTGACCATATGGGAACCGGGCCCTCAGGGACTGCAGGGATGTCCGTGTGCCTCTGGGATGTGCCTGAGCTGCTGCCTGGGCTCAGTGAGCCAGTGCTGAGCCGGGAAACAGCGGCAAAATACATTTGGGGGCGCTCCACCCTCCGAAAAGGTCCTTGAAAGCATCCCGAGGAGACAACAAAGCCGGAAAGGGCTGCAAGGTACATCCTGTGTGAGAGGCTGAGGACCCCCGGGTTGTCCGAGCTGCAGGAAATGGGGCTGAGAATCTGTCCCACTTCTCGTTGTGGCTTCCTAAGCAGGGGAATGGCACAGAGCTGTGATGGATGTGAAGGAGGGCTCGGACAGGGCGCTGGGAAACACGTCTTTACCAACCACACGTGGGGGTGGTCCAACGCTGGCACGGGCCCTGCGGGGGGTGGCGATGCCCTGAGCCCGTCCGCGTCCGAGTGGCATTTGAACAACGCCCCGATGCGCTGCGTTGACTTCAGGTCAGGACCCGATCGGACCCTTCCGGCTGCTCCATCCAATTTTAATTGCCTCCGCGTTTTGTTCCACCCTGGGGGCCGCCCGGCTGCTGGAGCCCCCCCAGCCCCCCGCAATGCTGCGGGGACCGCCGCCAGGTGGCAGCGCGGGCTGCGGTGCGGGGACGGCGGGCGGCGGCGGCGGCGGGGCCTTTTGCGGGGATGTTGTGAGGTTCCTCCCTCCGTCCCAACCCGTTCTGGGGCCTCCTGAGCTGTGACCGCGCTGCAATGGCCGCAGAGGTGACGATGTTGGCGCCGCGCCGTGCCCCACGCCGGGGTTGTGGTGTCAGCGGGTCACAAATGTGGGGCACTGTGGGCTCAGCTTCTCCAGCAGGGCAGGTGACAGCGGGGACATCGATCTCCTGCCTGCTGTCCCCACACCTCGCCGGCATCGTGTCAGCAGCTCACCCCAAACTCGTGGCCGCTTCTTTGTCACCCCAGCACGACACAAAGGCCAGGCTGACAGCGCGCTGCGCTCCCTGCAGGACCTCGCAGAGCCGTGTCCCTGCTGCAGGGTGCTCTGTCTCACCTCAACCGTGGCCTTGCTGAAATCTTGAGGCCAGGAGGAACAGAGGAAAGAGTCAAACTGGTCAGAATGTTTGCAGCAGGGAATTTGAGCCTACCTGCACAGGACGAGTTGCTCTGCGCCCATCAGTACTGCAGCTCAGCGTTCCATTGGTGCCACCTGGCCACGATGCTGGGGCAGCTGCCAGGCACCAGGATGCTGAGCCTGGGAAACAAAAGGGACTGGCAGCGCCCAGCACTCGTGACTGTGCCTGCAGGAATGAAGCTGGGCAGGTGCTCAGCTCGCGTGGCTCAGTGCCTCTTGGGTCGCACACTGGCCCTGCTGCCCAGGGCCACGACATGGCACAGCAGGGCAGGGTGACGTGACACGAGGGATGGGCACACAGCCACCTGCCCTTGCTGGGCTGGAGGAGGGCTCTCGTATTTACCCCGCTCTGCCACCATCATACCTCGCACACTGGTTTGAGGTGAGCAGCAGGGAGAACCTGCGGGGGTCCCCCCTCAATCCCAGCACCCAGATGTGGCAGGGGCAGCACCAGGCAGATGGGCGCCAGGCTGGAGGCTTGGGCGCATCCCAGGGACAGATCCCAACTGCCAGCACAGGGCTGAACCCAGCAGGAGCGCATCCAGCCTGGGTCCCAAATACACCGGCTGAGGGACAGGCAGAATGCATCCCGCATGCATCCCTCAGTCCTGCCCTGTGTGTACCAGTGCACTTGGGAAATGGCAACAAATGGGCCGGCACAGCTCCACTGCCCACCCAGCCACCCCTCCTGGGCAAAAAGCGACCCACTTGTGAGATCAGCAACATCTTCTCCAAGCAGCGATGCTTGGCCAGCAGCCCTGGGCAGACAGCCTGCTCCCAGACCTGCCACGCGTGGTCACCAGTGAGTGACCCAGCACGGGGCATGGCCACATCTGAGCACCCTACAGGCATCCGCTGCCCTCCCCTCGGCGAAGGGGTGCGTGGTGGGGGTACGTTTCCCTGGGCATTGCTCCCAGGTGGGATCTGCAGCCCTGGGGTTGGTCTGCCCCTCCTGGGCACGCTTCTTGGCGGCAGGACGGAGGTGAACCCACCGCCGTGAGCAAACAACCGCGAGCGGCGGCCGAGAGCAGCGCCCGCACAGCCGGAGTGGGTGAAACTCCGGGCAGCGCCGTCCGAGGCTCTGACAATGATTAAACTGGCCAACCCAGATTTCCCGGCAAGGCAGCGCTGGGCTGGGGCCGATGGTTCATATTATGCAAATCACCTGGATCAGGGAGCATGAACGTTTCGGGGCTGGAATTCCCCTCCGGCCTCCAGATCGCGTTACGCCACGCGTGCTATAAAAGAGAGAAGGCAGGGCAGGATCTGCCCATCGGCGCAGCTGTGGTGGCGGCGGGCAGGGCTCGCTCGCTGCTCTCTGGATTTAGCCGCTGCCCAGGGATTACAGCGCAGAAGGTACCCAAGATTTTCCTCTCTGGTGGGGAAGTCCCCCAGCCTCGGCGGCCGCTTTGCTCCCTCTGTGTGTGCTGGGGACGTGCTCGGTGCTTTCTGGCTCTTCACTGGTTTTCCCATCGTTGCCTTTTGGGGAGCAGCGAGGCGGTGGGCTCCAGGCGACCAGCAGGATGCAACTCTTCCACTGTGGCCTCGCAGCCCTGCAGCTGATGGGATTTGCCTATTGTGCCAACTTGGAGGATGGCCCTGGTCGTGGGGCATCTGTGGGGCTGGGCAGCATTTGATGGTCCTGCAACGTCCATCCCCACGGAGGGGCTGTCTCACCGGCAGTGGGACCACCTGCTTGCCGTCCCTGTGGTGCGAGCAGGGATAGGTGCTGGGGAAGGGGCTTTGGTGAGGAGGATGCCACGTCCTCATCCTGCTACAGCTCGGCCCCATGGCAGTCGGTGCAGCACTGGGTGGGGGGGCTCAGCAGTGGCAGTGCCGGATGGAGGCACAGAGATCGTGGGGTTACAGTGGGCGCTGTGGGTTTGGGTGTCTGGTGCCAGGGCTCACTGTCACCTCTCGTCACAGAACTTGATGGCGGCATCTTGTGAGATCAGCAACATCTTCTCCAACTACATCAGCGCCATGTACCAACCCGAGGAGGTGCAGCTGCCCCTGGATGTGCTGGGATGCCCCGGGGAGGACAGCAGCATGGGGCTGAGCCTCTCCACCAGCCAAACCCTGGCAGAGGGCACAGGTGGGATGGGGCACAGCGGCGGTGGGGTGCAGTGGTGGTGGCGTGCAGGTGCGGTGCCCAGCACACAGGGCATAAACGAGGTGGTGCTGGAAGAGCATTGCAAGGACACAGTCCCACTGGGACAGGTCGAGGCTTGTATCGTGCCTCAGTTTCCCCAGGAGTATTTTGGCTGGAGGGTACTTCAGCTGGCACAAGGTGTGATGGCAGCCCCATATAACACACTGTGCCTGTGGGACCGGCTCAAGTGCCCAGCCCTACGCTAAGTCTCATTCTCTGTCCCTTACAGACAAGCCGGAGTGGTTCGGTGAGCTCCCGTACTTCTGGACCAAGGTGCAGGTGCTGGAGTGGATCAGCTACCATGTGGAGAAGAACAAATACGATGCCAGCTCCATTGACTTCTCCTGCTGCAACATGGATGGGCGCGCGCTCTGCCACTGCACCAGGGACCAGATGCGCCTCATATTTGGGCCGCTGGGGGATGAGCTGTACGACCGCCTGCATGAGATCAGTGAGTGTCCCGCGTCCCCTCAGTCCCCAGGTCTGGCAGCTCACAGATTGAGGCCAAGAGCCCTGTGCCAGCCCAGGGCGGGGGCACAGAGAAAGGCCCATGCAGGGCTGGGCTCTGCTCCCCTCTGTGCTGAAGCATCACTAATCCCTGTTCCCTGGAACCCCGCAGCCTCTGACGAGCTGAGCTGGATCATTGAGCTGCTGGAGAAAGAGGATGCGGATTCCCAAGAGACCTCCCTGGACAGCAGCCACCTGGGTATGAGGGGGGCCACAGGCTTTTCCCCAGTGCCACAAAGGGTGCAGGAAGGGCTCACCCTCTTCTTCATTTCTCTGCCTCCTCCAGAGCTCGGCAATCCCTGTGCCAAGGACTCCCTGGAGGACCTGAAGCCCACAAACCCTTTCCTCGCCACAGACTTCACCTGCTTGTCCGGCGCCATGTCCCCAGGCAGCTCTGACCTCTCAGGTCAGTGCTTTCATAGAGCCATAGAATTTTACCTGGCTCAGAGCTCCCTTTGCTCACACAAAGCTGAGAGAGCACCAAGTGTGGCTCCATTCCTGGCTGATGCTGGGAGGAGGGGGCAGAGCCCGAGGGAAGCTCCTCGTGCTGCAAAGAGCCACGATCTGAGCCCTGTCCCTGTGCCCCCCAGGGCCCGTCATGTCCCACAGTCCCAACTCGCAGGACTCCGGTGGAAGTGACCTCGACCTCGATCCCATGGAAGCAAAGCTTTTTCCTGAGGGTGAGTTACTGGGAGAGCAGAGCGTGGCTGCTTCCCATCTTCTGGAGGAGCAGAGCCAGGCAGTGATCTTGGAGCATCTGCCTGCCCCACTGGGATGGGTTTTCTCTGTGCCCTGGGCCCATTTCTTCCCACTGACAGTGGCGATGGTGCATGGGGATGGTGGAACAGAGCTGGGGCAGTGGGGATCTTGGTGGGAGGAGGGAGGGACGATGCTGGATGGAATGGGAAGACTCTGCTCTACGGAACGGGCTTGTAAAGAGGGTGCAGCCCCTGGCCCTGCTATCCCCAGCCAGCTCTCCCCCTGGAAGGCACCTCTGAGCCCAGGGTGAGGGAGCTGCAATCTACAGGTAACTAACGTGTCCCCTTGTTGGTGTGCAGATGGCTTTGCAGGCAGCAAGAAAGGGGATGGCAAACACGGCAAGCGGAAACGAGGCCGGCCCCGAAAACTCAGCAAGGACAGCAGAGAGTGCCTGGAGGGTCGGAAAAGTAAGCACTGTACGTCCTAACCCGAGCCCTAACCCTTACCTCAGCCCTGGCCCTGCTGGCTCCTTGGCAGGACACGAGGGGCAGCATGGTGCTCGCTGGCTGTGCCCGTGGCAGGAGGACCCCTCCCCTAACAGCTCACTCTCTTCTCAGCCCCACGAGGAACTCACCTGTGGGAGTTCATCCGTGACATCCTGATCCACCCCGAGCTGAACGAGGGGCTGATGAAGTGGGAGGACCGACGTGAGGGCGTCTTCAAGTTCCTGCGCTCCGAGGCGGTGGCTCAGCTCTGGGGGCAGAAGAAGAAGAACAGCAGCATGACCTACGAGAAGCTGAGCCGAGCAATGCGGTGAGCGCCCCCACGTCCCCTCCAGGGAGGGGGACTGCCCACACACCAACGTGAGGGCTGCATCCAGAGCCCTGAGCCCGCCTCTGTCCCCTGCAGGTATTACTACAAACGGGAGATCTTGGAGAGGGTCGACGGACGCCGCCTGGTCTACAAGTTTGGGAAGAACTCCAGTGGATGGAAGGAGGAGGAGGTGCTCAACAGGAACAAGGAGCTGTAGGAGCCCCGGATCAGCCCCTGGCTCCCTGGCAGGAGTTTTTTGCATGCAGAAGGACTGGAAGCTGCTGCCCCATGCAGCGCATGGCGCTCCGAGCCTTGCGTGGGCACATTTGTGTGTGCTGGTGTCCACCAGCACCAAGGTGTTTAAAGCTAATATTTTGGCTCCAGTAGGTTATTGTAAACCATTATTTCTCTTGCTGGATTTGTACCTCCAACTGGAGAGGCAGTGACTTTGGGACTTTGTCTGTTTCAAAGCCTGGACAAGAGCAATGGGGAAGAGAAGCGTGAGTGGCGTTAGGCACTGCTGTGATGGCTCCTGCTGGCACCCACCCGTGACTCGTCCCAGCCACCTGCTCCTTGCGGGTGGGTGAAGCCCCTCTGTGCAGCATCTCAGAGCAACGTCTGCCACGAGAAGATGGAAACACTGCAGAGCTTCACCCGATCCCGGCGAGCCCAAAGAGCTCCCAAGGACTGAGTTCACCAGGGCTTGGCTGCGTTTCCAACCCAGCTCCCCAGGCTTTTTCCCTAAGAGTAGCTTATTTATGTAAGAGAAAACGAATATACAGATATATTTTTTCATGTGTAAGATGTTCTCGCATGATGGCGTGCACTGTAGGGCACATGCATGTCCTGCATTGCTCACAGGAGGTGACGCTCAGCTGGACTGAAGTGATGTCAGGGGGCACAGGCTGGAACTGTGTTAGCCCTGGGAGTGAGATGCCGGCCCACCAGGCACCCACAGATCCCTCCTTTTGAGCTGGGAATGTCAGAGGAATAAATTGTTGTTTGGTTGGGGTTTTGTAACCCTGTCTTATTGTGACTGCTTTTGTTGAAGGTGAAGTTGGGACTGAAGATGCCCCTGGGGAGCCTGGCAAAGGCTCAGAAATGCATTTTAGCAGGGGGCTGACTGTTGTTCCCTCCCTCGCTGCCAGAGGCACGGCACGGTTAGGGATCGCCCTTATGGCACTTGTAAAGTTGCAAGGTGACTTGTGCACAAGGTGTCACATACAGCACCTGTGCCAGCTGCCCTGGGCTGTGCTGCCTGCAGGAGCTGGAGCTGCCCCAGCGCGTGGCCACAGCTTGCAGGTGGGGCTGTGCCTTACAGCAAGGATGGATTTAGGGATGGGAGAACCACGGGCCCTGCTGCGAGTTGTCGCTCCCAGGCTCCTCACGGCCGTAGCCCCGGGCACCCCACGCCTCTGCTGAGCCGCTGAGCCCACCCAGTAGGAGATCCCAAGAGGGAATTCGCAGTCAAAGTCCTGGGATGACAAAGTGATGGATGAGAAGGAAAGGCCGCCCTTATATCCCGCCGGGCCGCAGCCCCCGGGTGCACCAGGAGATGGGGCCTCCTGCTGAGGTGAGGAGAGGTCCCACGTGTGGCTGTGAGCTGGGCTGCAGCCACCAGCGCTCTGCAGAGCTCCTTACGCAACCCAGCGCTGGGAACGGGTTCTCCTGGCTGCTCGGGGCCCATCCTGACCTCAGGCTGCACCGGCAGGCAGGGAGATGCTCGGGATGCCCACGCAAACACCGCGTGCAGCACGGGACCACGGCGGTGGCACCGGGAGGGGGACGGTGATGAGGAGAAGCCGGGAGCTGCGCCGCGGCTGCCATCCCTGGCAGGGAGCTCAGGGCTGTGGGCGAGGTGTTTATTCTCCCTCCATAGATAACCCCAGCAGGTTGGCAGGCAGAGCGCAGCGCTTTGTCACGCAGCCCGCTGCCTTGCCAAGCGCGCCCTGTTTGCTCAAGCAGTTTCATTTCTTTCCCGCTGCGGTTTGTGTTACCTAACGAGCTCGGGACAATGTTTAACCAGCCCTTGGCAACAGCAGGAACCCTGTCTGCCTCGCCTCGTCGTGTCCCCGCTGCCACCCCGCTCGGGTCCGTCCTCCCCACGGCCCCGTGCCATCGCAGGCGGTGAGGGGGCAGAGCAGGGCTGTGTGCTTATGGGATGGGGCACACGGTCCTGCATCTCCTTTCGCGGGTCCGAGGGTGGAAGGGGGCTGAGGCCGCTCCCACGTGTGCACACAAACACACGGAAACCTCTGCCGTGACCTCCAGGCCCGCGCTGCGCCAAGCCGGCAGAGCCTCTGGCATGAAAAGGAGATGATTTATCTGAGCGTTTATTTTCCTCATCTCACAGGAGGTGCCCAGATCCCACGGCTGTGGCAAACCGTGGTGAATAGAAACAGAGCATTTTCCACCTTGTGCACCAGAACTGCTCCCACCAGGTGGTCCCAGGCGGAACGTGGGGCTACACACAGCTCCCACAGAAATGCCTTCATCCACCTTCAAGGCTGTGCGTTAAAATGGGGTTCTGTCTTCTGAAAACACCCACTGGGATGGGGGGACCCCCGATCCCAACGGGAACACGAGGGTGGTTGGCCCTGGCCAGCTCTCGCCTGGACCCTTGTTCCCAGAGCACACTGCTGTGTGTTTCTCTGTGGTGGGATGTTTCTCCGGTGCCCCTCTCCCTGGGGCACTTTGTCCAGGTGGGAATCAGCCCTTCGGATTCTGGGAGCAAGAAAAAGTTCTTGCTCCTTGGATTCTTGGGTTCTGAAGAAAGAAAAAGGTGTGTAAAGCTGATAAGGTTTGGTCCTGCTGGAAACATCCGATGAAAAGCCTTGGGAACCAACCTGTGAGGCATTTATTGCAGCCCTGATAAGAAGCACTCTCCCTGCTGCATTTCACTCCAGTCCCTGACCAGCCCCAGGCTTACTTCATGCAACCCAGGCTAAAACCTGCTGGGTCCCAGGGCAAGTTGTAGCTATGTGTGGTTTGGCACAGACAGAACCAGGCTGCAGAGCTCCCACACTTTGCTAAGAACACGGTAATGCTGTGCCATTTGGGCTGCCCATTGCTTTGGGTGCCTTTCCAGCAGTGGCTCAGGCTACCAGCTCAGCTGGCATAAATACACCCAGGGAAAGTCTCCCTGATGGGCATCCAATCCGTATGTGTGAGCATGGAGGGATGAGTTGATGCTTGGACTAGATGATCTTCGTGGTCTTTTCCAACCTTAACGATTCTACGATACCCCTGAGCTGAGCTGAAAGCAGCCGAGCAGGGGATAGCAGTGGGGATTGCTCCTCCTGGGGACAGATGTCCCTGCAGTTGGGTACAAGTGAGGTGCAAGGGTGCTGTGTGGGAAAGCTCCTCCCTGCTGCACAAGGGAGGAAAGCGGTTTGCTGCTGACTGCATCGCGGTCCTGGAAAGAGCCTTGTGGTTTAGGGCTCAGCAGCTTTAGGTGATGGGAAGAGGGGACATGCTGTAAGGGTGTGGAACAGCTATACAAAAGGAGAGTAATGGGGAGGGAAGGGCTGACAGCCGGGCGATGTGTGCTCTATAGCAGCAGGCAGGACGTGGTGCTGGGGCTTTGCGGCAGGTCTCTGCCGGTTTCAGGGCTGGGTGGGCACCTGTGGGGCCGCGTCCCTCTTCCCTGGGTCACAGCCATCACTGGGGCTCACAGACCACGCTCCCCCACCTGGCAGCTCAGGGGTTCCTTGCCTAATTGCTGCCAGCAGCAGCTGCCCCGGGGGTGCCTGGCTCTCCCAGCAGAGCTGATGGTAACTCCTCTGTTCAACCCTGGGCTGTTTGGTTGTTAAACAAGAGGGCGGCTGTTCCCACTGTCGGAACGGGGAAGCGGTGGCTGCCTGGAACCAGAGGCAGCAGGCTGCCAGCAGCCGGGCGCACGGGGGGCACTGCAGGGCACCAGGACCAGTGGGGCACACCGTGAGTCCCCACCAGTCCTCACCCACCCAAGCCTTCCCATCACACCCACCCATGGGTTTGGTTCCTCTGCCCCACACTCTGTTTGCTGTCCCCCTGGGGCTGAGGCTCTGCCCTATGTATGTGGAGCTCTGGCTGGCCATGTGTCCACAAGATCAGATGTGGGGCTGAATCCTCCCCATCTCACATTGCCTGCCCAGAGATTTCCCCTCCTGCAGACAGTGGCACATCACAGGCTGCCCAGATGAGGACTGAGTGGCCTCTGGCACCCCGAGAAGGATGGCGCTGGTTGGTCTTGTCTCCCTTTCCTTCCCTCCACCACTTCCAACAAAGATCCCAGTTCTGTCTCACGGTGAGACAAAAAGAAATTTTCATTGCATTCTTGTTTCTTGGCCAACTCTACCCTTTGTTATCCACCAAACATGCCATGGAGCCTGGCACTGCACCAACTTGCGAATGAAGTCACTGGCAAGTGCAGGAATGAGGGGGCAGGACCTGAGGGCCCCATGTGAGGGGCAGGTTGGTTTTGGTGCCTAAAGCAATTCAAGAGGATTTCTGCCACACTTTGAAGATGCGTGGGGCCTAAAGCCATGAGTCCTGCCAAGGTTGCCACGGGGCAGGGAGGAGGATGGGGACACTTAGAACCATAGAAATCCCACGTTGGAAGGGACCCACAGGGACGGCTGGACCACCACACATGGATGATGGAAGGTAGCATCACCCTGCTGCGGCTATTTCTGGCTGAAAGTGTGGGGGAGCTGAGATGGGAGGCGTGCCATGAAATGTCTGTCCTGCCATGCCATGTGGGACAGGACTTTCCTCCTCCAAAGCTTCTGGAAAAGTACAGCCTCAGAGAGTTTAGGTGTGCCCCAGGGCCACCGGTCTGAGCGGTGGATCCCATGACTGGCCACGAACATCAGACTTTTCCAGCTGTGTGTACAGGGGTTGGGGCTGGAGGTGCCCTGCGCAGCGGGCACACCCCACTGAGCCTGAGACATGCTCATGCGTCAGCTGTGCTCTCCTCCAGAGCCTCGGGGTAAAGGTCTGCTGGGGCGGAGGTGGCAGAGCTCCATTGGCCTCCAGAGCAGGGGTAGCCTGGAGGGATGAAGATCCTGGGGGGGGATGAGTTGGGTAGGGGTCCGTCCTGGCCATCCCGTCACAAAGCTTTTGGTGATGTCCCTCCACTTTCAGCAGATCCCATTGGAAAGGCTTTTCTCACACGCAGACCCATGGAATGGAGGTTCCAACTGTTAAGAATGGAGAAGACCTCTGAGATCCCCACCTCACCCCACCGCTCCCCTCCCCACTGTGCCCCCTCAGTGCTGCATCTCCGAGGTTCTGAACCCCCCCAGGGACGGTGACCCCACCACTCCCCAGGCAGTGTTTCCCCATGCCTGACCACTCATTCCTACGTCAGAGTGGTGGCAGATCCCATGGGACCCCCAGGCCATCCACGGCGTGGGTGCTCCTCTAGTTTTTGCCTTCAGGACTTTGAGCAAGCAAGTCCAGACCTGAGCCTGTTTTCGGGCACAGGGTGGGTCCTGCAGGAGGATCTCATTGCTCCAGGCCTTTCTGAAAGGAGCCAGGTTTCAGAGCGCGCTTTGTGGGCACAGCACGGTGAGTGGCTGCTGGATCTTCACCAGCTGCTGCAAGTCCCGGCGTTCCTCTCTCAAAATTCCCATTGCATCCAGCAGGCGCAAGCCCTCACTCTGCCTGGCAGCAGGCTCCTGCTGGTGCCTTTCTGGGGTTGGGGTCAAAGGTACTGGGATCTAATGGGATGGACAGAAGGTGGTTCCCATTCAGCCTGTTTCCTCCCCAGCAAGGTGATGGCTCCCAACAGCCGGACCCCCTTCCAACCCCAGAGCTGTGAGGGAGAGGCAGTCCCACCGTGATGTCCTGGGATGTGCCTCAGCTCTGGGGTCCCTCATCGACCAGGGGAGGAGGTGTGCTCCTGGAGGGGCTGTCCGTAGGCTGCAGCCCCATTTCTTGTGCACAAACCACGGCCCTGCAGAGTCCCCAAGACTGGGAGCCCTTTCCAAGCCATCCTCACATCTCTGCAGCTGCCTCAGCCCAAGGGTCGCTTT